GGAGCCATTTTGCTGTTATGATTGCATCCCATGTCCAGAAGGGAAGATTTCGGCTCAGGAGGGTGAGTATTCTGCACAAACTGTACAGTTTAAAAGTGAATGGCTTTAGCTGGAATTCATAGGAATGTGCCTACGAATTAACGACTATATACCAGGTTTAGCATGTGATTGAAATGTTTATTAAGCCTGTAGGTAGTTGCTGAAGAAGAAACTGGTTTGTGTCTGTGATTATTTGCCTCAAAGTCCCTGTTAGGGAAATATGTTGGGTATTAAGTACAGTGGCTTTTGTACAGTAGCTAGATAATGGGCAGTACTAGTAACAGTTTATCAGAGAAGATAACTTCCAAATGTATGATCAAGCTTCAAACAAACAGACACACACACACACACACACACACAGAGAGAGAGAGAGAGAGAGAGAGAGAGAGAGAGAGAGATCAAAAATGATTTTCTGACTTATCATCAATGGCAATAAGCCTGAAAGAAAAAGTTTTAGGAATGAACTTAACTTGGTCCAGTCTTTGAAGAGTGTTTAGATCCTTCAATTGTTGCAAAAGCAGGAGACCGATTCTTTATGATAGGTAGACTCCACAATCTATCCATCTGACACAACACACACATTTACGTGATAAAATTGGAAATTTACAGAGATAGAAGGAATAAATGAAAAATTAAGAGAATACATGACCAACCTAAATAGAACAGCACAGACAAAAATAATTGGAAATTAAAAAAAAAAAGTTTAGAGTTTTTGCTCTATTTTTTTATCTATTAACAGGGATTGCAACTTTTTGTTCCAGGAGAGGACTTTCAAAATTACTAAGCTTTGCATTTTAATAAAATGAAAATAATATCTATCTAGTTTAGAAGTTAAAATGTGAGGTTTTTATCTGTTACACCAAGGTTTAAAAAATCCTTCCAACACTACACAAAATAGCCATAACTCCCAGCCTTATTTTGCTTACAGATTATAGTATTCTAACACAGAATGTTCCTCGCAGGTGTCGGTTAAAACTCCAAACACACTACTTAATAGGGCTTTCACCAGACAAGACAGGAAAAATTCATAATCAAATTTAATATGTTGTTCATTAGAATACAAAAACCATTGCATATTAAATAATAACAATTAAAACATAGTTCAGATAAACATAATTTCTACAGAATATGTGTTCACTCTCCCTGATTAATACCAAATATTTTCTTTTTCAGACATGAATGAGTGTAATATATGCTCAGAAGAAAAATGTCCAAATAGTAATCAGGATATGTGTATTCCCAAGGAAATAACCTTTTTATCCTATGAAGAACCTCTGGGCATCAGTTTAGCCTGCAGTGCTTTTGCTTTTTCCTTCATCACAGCTTTGGTTCTGGGAACATTTTTGAAGCACCACCACACACCCATTGTCAAAGCCAACAATCGGGACCTCACCTACACTCTCCTCATTGCCCTTCTCTTCTGCTTCCTTTGTGCATTGCTATTCATGGGAAAGCCTGAGAAGGTGACATGCCTCTTCCGACAAACTGCTTTTGGCACCATCTTTTCAGTGGCTGTTTCTTGCGTGTTGGCAAAAACCATGACAGTGGTTTTAGCTTTCATGGCCACCAAGCCAGGATCCAAGATGAGGAAGTGGGTGGGGAAGAGACTGTCTATTGCCATTGTGGTTTCCTGTTCTTTTATTCAAGGAGGCATCTGTACTGTGTGGTTAGCATCCTCACCCCCATTCCAAGATGTTGACATGAACTCAATGCTTCAAGAAATTGTACTGGAATGCAATGAGGGATCCGTGACTATGTTTTACTGTGTCCTGGGCTACATGGGCTTCCTGGCTCTTGTCAGCTTCACTGTGGCTTTCCTTGCCCGGAAGTTACCTGACAGTTTCAATGAAGCCAAGTTTATCACTTTCAGCATGTTGGTCTTTTGCAGTGTTTGGCTGTCCTTTATTCCCTCCTACCTCAGTACCAGGGGGAAATACATGGTTGCAGTGGAGATCTTTTCTATCTTAGCCTCTGGTGCTGGTCTCCTGGGATTCATCTTTGCCCCCAAATGCTATATTATTGTGTTGCGGCCTGAACTAAATAACAGGGAACATCTAATAAGAAATAAGACCTAAGGAATCTGAGTGCCTTCAATGTACTTTATTTTGCTTGTTTGTTAGTTTTTTATTTATAAAAAATGTTGAACTATATAAATTTTCCCATAGCCTCCCACATTCTCTGAACATTTAAATTTTATTTGGAGAATTTAATTAAGATTTTGCAGCCAAAAAGGGAGGGGGGAATATATGTATCCTGCCCCTGCATTTATTGTTCAGGCAACTCCCCATTTACTTGGGGGCTGCATTTCTTTCTTTCCTGTAGCCCTTTTGGACCCCTTAGGATGTGTGGTTGTTTTTTTTAATGTTATGAAGTCAGCTGAAAACACCCACCCTTCGAAAGAAACACTGAGGACTGGGGGCAAGAGCTGATCATGAAGCAGCCAACTTGAAACAGAACCAATCAACAGATCATGAAACAGAACCAACTTGCATGATGTCAGTATTTCATTCTCTCATCGCAGGATCATGTGAACCTCTGTTTACATTCCATAACACTGTAAGTGTGGGAATGGAAGTCAGAGTTTCTGTTCCCACACTTACAGTGTTATGGAATGTAAACAGGATCACGTGATCCTGCGATGAGAGTATGAAATACGGAGCAGTCATCGTTTGTGATTGATTCTGGTGCGACACGACATCTGTGTAAAGACAGAAGCCTGTTTATTGAGCTCCAGAAGCTCAATAAACAGGCTTCTGTCTTTACACAGATATTGCATCACACCGGAATTGATCACGAACGATGACTGCACACGCTGACTGGAACAAAGTGTGATCAAGCATCCTATACCTCCAGGTATAAGGCGGTATATAAATTCTAATAATAATAATAATAATAATAATAATAATAATAATAATAATAATAATAATAATCTTGAAGACCTGTGTTTTATCTTGGTGTTCTGATTTTACTTGTCAGAGATAATAAAGACCTCATCCACTTTCTTGAATGATGTGTTCTCTAAACTATTAATCCTATTATTCTGACTGCTGATGTGGGATACATGCCATGAGATTAAAAATCCTTGTTAATATCCAGAACTGTGCATGCATGTGCACACACACATACACCACAGCTCCAATGTAACACGCAGCAAAACTACTTTTTATGCACCAACATTATCTAGGACATGTTTCTAGGAGTCACATGTTTCTAGGAGTCATGAATGATTCCTGAGTGCAGGGTGGGGACCACAGGTGGACAAACTACCCCAGAAGGAAGGAGCATGACATGTCCCCCACCAGAGGTGTTATCCATGCCTTAACATCCCATACAACCCCCATTAAAATATAATTGCTATAAACACAATTTCTACACGATATGTGGAGTTTTTTAAAAATATATTAAGACCACCTATTTTCTTTTTCAAATATGAATGACTGTAACATATGCTCAGAAGAAGAATATCCACAAAATAATCAATATATGTGTATTCCCAAGAAATTAGCTTCTTGTCCTTTGAAGAACCCTTGGGAATCAGTTTAGCCTCTTCTGCTCTTTCCTTTTCTTTGATCGCATCCTTCGTCCTGCAAACATTTTGAAGCACCACCACACACCCATTGTCAAAGCAAACAACCAATACCTCACCTACACTATCCTCCTCTCCTTCCTGCTTTCCTTCCTTTCTGCGTTGCTATTCATCAGATGGCCTGTAAAAGTTGTTTGCCTCCTCTGACAGATTGCTTTTTGTATTATCTTCTCAGTGACTCTTACTTGTGTGCTGGCAACAACCATCAGAGTGGCTTTGGCTTTCATGGCTGCCAAGCCAGGATTCAGGATGAAGAAGTAGGTGGGGGAGAGACATTGTTGTTTCCTGCACCTTTATTCAAGCATGCATTTGTACCATGTGGCTGGCATCCTTACCTCATTCTCAGATATTGACATGAACTCAGTAGTTCAAGAAATTGTACTAGAATGTATGGAGGGACCTGTGACTATGTTTTACTGTATGCTGGGCTACATGGGCTTTGTTGTGGCCTGAGCTAAGCAGCAGGGAACATTTAGTAAGACATAAAGCCTGAAAGGTTTGTGTATATGCATCGTTTGCGACAGCTTCAAATCTAGACAGCAGAGTACTGAGCCATTTCCCTCTCAGCAGCTACACTGCATAAATATTTGCACAGGTCTCCTGATTCTTCTAATTTGGAAAAAATATCTTGGAAAAACAAACTAAGATATATATGTCTAAAATTAAAAACATTGTGTATGTATTCACCCTTTGCATTTCACAATATCTTTCTTCAGCCTCTCATTATTGTGGATTTTTGAGAGGATATTTACGCAAAAGGTGTAACCACACTCACTGTGGCCACACTCACATCCACAAGTGCCATGTTGGTAACTGTCATAAAGTATAGAATAAAATGTCCCTATCTTCCTGTTTGTGACTCCAAGTTCTGCCATCCCTTCTTAGCTAATAATAATATTTCAGTTCAAAAAGTGTGACAAACAACCTGTCCTAGTTCTACAGGGACTTCCCATCTTATACTTAGCAATTAACTTCAGAATTATCTTGTCAGAAGAACAGAAATTAATTCTGTTGTTCATTCAAATCCCTGTGGATTTTTGGTGGCCACTAGCAAAACAAAGAACAAAGACCATGAAGAATGTCATAAATATAGCCAGTATAATACCCAGTAGGGTGAGGGACTGGGAACAGGCAAAGCTCCACAGCTTTAGGCCTCTGGGAAACATAAAATGTTCAATTCGGGCAGTTTTAGTTGCAGATGCTGTAATGATTGTTCTGTTGAAGAACATAGGAGATTTTGGATGTAGTTGGAATATTTTTCCTTGTACTTAGAATGGCAGTTTTAGTCATCTTGCTACTGGTCCTGTTTCCTCAAACAGGATGTGCAGATCACATTGTTCAATGCAGTGTCCATTATCCACAGCATCCAGTTCACATGTATCATCAGGAAGGAGATCTCATCATTGGTGGCATCGCTTATCATGGCAGCTTTGTCGCCAGTGAAAGCGAATTCAAAGAAGAACCCCTACCAACATTATCAGAATCGGTTGTGTAAGACCTTAATGGTTGTTTATGTGCCAGTGAATTCTGTTTTAGTAAAGTGGATGGTGTGAGCAGCTTATGCAGAATGAAAATGTTGCTATTATGAATGTGTATGAGTGTGTTAAATAACACCTTATTTTAAAAAAATGGAAGGGTTATTGGTGCTCGTATAGTTCAACTTTGTTCAGTGGAGGAAATCTTGAAACTAAGGCATCCATAACAGAAGCTGTCTAGCCTCATCTTAAATACCTCCAGCCAAGAGCAGCTCACCACCTCCCAGTCTGTTCCTCTCCCAAACAGCTTTTACTGCTTGGTTTTCCACCTAAAATTAGCCAATATCTACTCCTTTGCAGTTTCCACCTGCTATCTCCAAGCCTTCCCAATGGAGCGCTCGGGGGGGGGGGAGATAAAGAAGAAAAGACTGCTCTACCTTCTTTATTATATTATATGCTCTACCTTCTGTATATATTTAAAGACAGCTATCAGGTCTTCCATCAAACTTTTTTTCAGGTTGTGAATACCCAGCTCATTTAACTTTTCAGTGTAGTTCATTTTAGCAAATGATATTGAAAAAGATACCGTAGTCTGAAAGTATTGTTATGTGGTAGTGCTTATCTATTACAGCAAAAGGTGCTTCAAGAAATATAACATGTAGATAATGTAATCATTAATTATTAGACTGATTGAGTAATTAATGAATCAGATACTGAGCACATGTGGAATATCTTCATGATACAGAATCTCAAATTCATTCTAGTGTAATACCTAAGCATTACCAGCACATTGTGGCCTTGGACTTTGCAGTAAAGGAGATCAATGAAAATCCTCAGATGTTACCCAATATCACTTTGGGCTTCCACATTTATGACAGCTATAACAATGCCAGGTGGACCTATCAGGCCACAATGCTGCTTCTATCAGCACTGGAGAGATTTATCCCAAACTACATTTGTGACAAAATGAAAAATCTGATAGCAGTTATTGGGGGACTGGATTCTGAAATTTCCATGAATATGGCAACTCTCCTGAATATCTATAAGGTTCCACAGGTAGGACAGCACTCTCTCTCTCTCTGTGTGTGTGTGTGTAGGTGTGTAGTATGGGAGTTTAATTCTCACTTTCTTGAATCCTCAACATTTTCTACAGTGAAAATTAAAGTCATCAATATGTCCCTTACAAATAATGAGACAGAATTCATTTTTTATATTTTGGAAGAATATTTTTACTAGTTTGGTGTTATTTATATTCTTTTGTGATACTCTAGTTGCTGATGTTTGTTTTGTTTTATTCGTATGGTTGTTTTCAATTTAGGAAGAGAGAGGGAGAGAGAAATGAACCTGCTGTTTATTATTCACTTATAAAGAAGAAAAATATGACCATAATTCTTTCTGCTCCTTTAGTCCCCTCAATCCACAAGCATGCTTCTGAGGGGAGGGAGAAATCCACAACATTGGCTCACTTCCTATGTTGCTGAGAGGTAGCATCCATCAGCAGGGGTGGACAGCACTGGATTCCATTCTATAGGCACTATTTTGAATCCTTCATGTTGCAACATAAAGTACGCTGTTGTCATTTTCCCCCTTCCCCATTCTCTCTCCAGCTCATCTATGGCTCCATTCCACAGATGAATTATAAAACTCTAGGCCTTTCTTTCTACCAGATGGTCCCTAAGGAAACCCTTCAATATGCAGGGATTCTCTCTTTGCTACTACATTTCAGGTGGACATGGATTGGAGTCTTTATAATGAATGATGAAAGTGGTGAAAGATTTTTACAAACTGTATCACCAATGTTTTCCCATAGTGGAGTTTGCTTTTCCTTCATACAAAGAGTCCCTATGTTGACTTCCATTGATGAAATTAAAGAAATACTTGAAGAAGGTGCAAAAATGCATAGTGAAGTCAGGAATAGTACAGCCAATGTGGTTGTTTTTAATGGAGAATCTGTTTCCATGTATTTTTTGAGATGGCTTCCATATTTTGCACAACATCCACCAAGTCTACCAAAAGGAATAGTGTGGATAACAACAGCTGAAATGGAGCTCACTTCACAGGTCTATCAAAAGGATTGGGATACCCAAATATTCCATGGTGTTCTGTCCTTCACAATCCACTCCAATGATCTGCCAAAATTCAAATCATTTGCTGAGAGCCAAAGTCCTTCAAGTGCAAAGGCAAATGGTTTTATCAGGGACTTCTGGCAACAGGCATTTGGCTGTGTTTTCCCAAATCCAGATGTGGGAGATGTGGAGGGGGATATTTGCACTGGGGATGAGAAACTGGACAGCCTTCCGGCAACGCTTTTTGAAACCAGCATGTCTGGCCACAGCTACAGCATCTACAATGCTGTTTATGCTGCTGCTCATGCTTTACATCAGGCACTGCCATCTAGACTCAAACAGAGAGCAATGGAAAATAGAGAGGGACTGAAATGGCAAAATCAACAGTTGTGGCAGGTAAGGGACTCAACATTTTCAAGTGGCAGAGAGGCACAACCATGGTACTGTATGCCACAATCTTTATAATAAAACTAACTCCTCCCAACTCTTCCAGTGCTCATCTTTCAATCTTTCTTCATAATCAATCAACTAGAGTTGAAATAATAGCCTATCAGTCTACTCTGATTCATTCCTTTTTGTCAGTGTAAAGGTAAAGGTAAAGGTACCCCTGCCCGTACGGGCCAGTCTTGACAGACTCTAGGGTTGTGCGCCCATCTCACTTAAGAGGCCGGGGGCCAGCGCTGTCCGGAGACACTTTCCAGGTCACGTGGCCAGCGTGACAAAGCTGCATCTGGCGAGCCAGCGCAGCACACGGAAACGCCGTTTACCTTCCCGCCAGTAAGCGGTCCCTATTTATCTACTTGCACCCGGGGGTGCTTTCGAACTGCTAGGTTGACAGGCGCTGGGAACGAACAACGGGAGCGCACCCCGCTGCGGGGATTCGAACCGCCGACCTTTCGATCAGCAAGCCCTAGGCGCTGAGGCTTTTACCCACAGCGCCACCCGCGTCCCTTTTGTCAGTGTACTTAAGTGCATAAACAATGTACACTTTTACACTTTTACTGATCAGTGTAGGGTATTCTCCTGTGATCTCTGTGATCTCTGGGTATATTAATGTGAGGTATGTAGCTTTTAGCCTGGATTGTGTGTATCACACTATTTGGACCTCATAATGAGATATGGTCTTGCTCATGGGTAGTAAATATGATGCCCTCTATACATTCTTGGATTACAAGTCCTATCATCCCTAACTATTGACTATACTATCTGGGGTGATGAGAGTTATAATAATAATAATAATAATATATTATTATATATATTATATTATTATTATTATTTTTATTTATACCCTGCCCTCCCCAGCCAAGGCCGGGCTCAGAGAGGCTTACAAGCAATAATAAAAACAAGTTGAATGATTACAACTTAAAAACAAAATTAAAATACAACATTAAAATATTGAAACATTAAAATATTAAAATGTAGCCTCCTCGCAGGAGAAGAAGGAAAAGAAAAAAGAAAGAGAGGGAGGGAATCAAATTGACTCCAAGCCAAAGGCCAGGTGGCACAACTCTGTCTTACAGGCCCTGCGGAAAGAAATCAGATCCTGCAGGGCCCTGGTCTCATGAGGCAGAGCGTTCCATCAGGCTGGAGCCAGAGTTGAAAAGGCCCTGGCTCTGGTTGAAGCCAATCTAACTTCCTTAGGGCCCGGGACCACTAGGGTGTTGCTATTTATGGACCTTGAGGCTCTCCGTGGGGCTTAATGGGAGAGGCGGTCTTGTAGGTACGAGGGTCCTAGGCCGTGAAGGGCTTTAAAGGTCAAAAACAGCACCTTAAATCTGACCCTGTACTCCACCGGGAGCTAGTGCAGCTTGAAAAGCACTGGGTGAATATGCTCCCATGGCAGAGACCCCATGAGTAGCCTCGCTGCAGCATTCTGCACCCGCTGGATTTTCTGGGACAGCTTCAAGGGCAGCCCCGCGTAGAGCGAATTACAGTAGTCAAGCCTGGAGATGACCGTCGCATGGATCACTGTGGCCAGGTCGGGGCGGGAAAGGTATCGTAGTCCAACAATATCTGGAAGTGAATACCACATTGGCTAGTATTGGTCTTGCTTGTGCTATCTTCACTGTAAAGCTCTGCATAAACTTAATCCAGTATTTCTTTCTTCACTCTGGCATCAGGGAATGGCTATTTAGAATCCTGCGGATCCTGTTGATATTTTGCTGTTTGTGTTCAGGATTATATGAAAACCTTTTTTAATGAAACATTCTGTTTCATAAAGGCATTTTAATACATAAAAAGGCAATGTGTGTGAAACTGCAGAAAAATAATGAATAGTGTATTCCATTCGGCTTCAACCTTCATAGTAGCAAGTGTATTAACATTACAATCATACCTGCATTTACCTGGGAAATAAACCCCTTGAATTAAATGGGTTTTACTTCTGGCTAGGATTTGGATTATAGCCTCTAGCAACAATTTACACATACACAGAGTCAACAAACAACACTTCAGAAAAAAAAGGGGGGAAAGCAATGAAACCCCCGTTGGGACAGCAATTATACATTGATGAATATGTAGATTATGTAGATTGCAACACAATATTTACATATTACGTACGTACAAACCTTTTAAAAAATGCAGCAGAGACTTAAGGACAAAAGAAACTTAAGGAATAACTATGATAGGGGCTGAACAGGTGAACAAGAGGAAATTTGCTTGCTATTAAAGGATTCCCCTTATATCCCTAGCTGTGTTGTCAGTAAGATAAAGGCATCCATTCTATTAAGACTTATGTGCATTAATTTAATTCTTGTGTTTCTGTAGTCTTTTCTCACTAGAAAACCGTAGACGTTAGACCTTAATATGCAAGAACTAACTTCAGCCTTTTCCAAACTATTGCTTTTTGCTATTCAACCTAGCTACATCAATTTCTCAGAAATGTCACGTTTAACAACAGCGGTGGGGACAAGATTTTCTTTGATGAGTTTGGGGAGTTAGTGGCTGGATTTGATGTGATCAACTGGATTGTTTCTTCAAACCAATCATTTCACAGAGTGAAAGTTGGAAGGGTGGACCCCAACAAAGTATTCACCATCAATGCAGATGAGATAACATGGTATAGCACGTTTAACCAGGTAGGATCCAATTGTCTGCAATTTGAAAAGACATCCAGTTTTGAATGAATACTGATGCTCTGTCCTGATGTGTGAAATAATTTTCATCAGACAGTGATGAAAACTATAAAATCTGGAGGCAGGGGATTTCACTGACAATGCACAATGGATGAACTGTTGGGAAAATGGGATTCCACAAGTGGCTATGATTCCACAATTAGCCATCTTGAATACTAACCTGTGAGAAGGGTGGTCTATAACAAGATCAAGCAAATAAATAAACAAACAAATGTTGCTTTGTTCTTGCCTTTATTCATGTAGAAATGGTTCAGATAAAATTTTATATAGAATTTAATCATATCTCTATTGGTTTAAATATACATAAGATTATAATATAAGTCATTTAACATTCAGTCATGCTCTACTGGCAATGTTTAGTTCAAGCAGAAGTGTTACATTTAGTGCATGTCAAATATCTAAATAAAATGTGTGTGTTTGTGAAAACACAAAGTTTATAAATCTTGAATTATCTATTGTATAAAAGCACATACAGGTAATGTAGTGAATCAATATCAATATGCAGGTGGTGTCATATATATATATATATATATATATATATATATATATGCATGATGTGGCATCAAACCTCAATTTTTAGCTGCTGAATGTTTTGAAAGCCGAATGCCGAAATTTCAGAAGCTAATGCTTCTGTTTTCGAATGCGCCTTGGAAGTCAAATGGCTTCTGAGCAGCTTTTTTCTTTTCCTTTTCCTTTGAACTTGTTGACAGCCGTTTGATCCTCAATTTTCAAATGTTTCGGAAGTCAAACAGACTTCTGGAATGGATTACATTTGAAAACCAAGGTTCCACTGTATCACTTAGGAAAATCAAAATATTTTGGGGTCTTTTTGTTAACACACTATTCTCAGCATTATTATTGTGCTCTCTCATTTGTACCTTAGTTTCAGCCTCTTTCCTTATGTAATGAGAGGTGCCCCCCTGGCTTTAGGAAGAAATTGAAAGAGGGAGAGCCATTTTGCTGTTATGATTGCATCCCCTGTCCTGAAGGGAAGATTTCAGATCAGGAGGGTAAGTATTATGTGTATATTGTACAGCGTTGTGAAATAGAAGGGGTCTGCCTGAAAACCAGAGGAATGTGCCTGTAAATTTAGGACTCCATTAGGATTACTTTTCTTCAAACCATTCCTGACATATAACACTTATGGTCCCAAGCTCTAAATAATTTTTTATCAAACCAGACATAAAACCTCCAAAAAAATGCATTACCATGAATATTCCAAACAAATATCACAACACATATTTCCTTTTTTCAGATATGAATGACTGCAATCAATGTTCAGAAGAAGAATATCCAAACAATAATCGGGATCTGTGTATTCCCAAGGATATAAGCTTCTTGACTTACGGAGAACCTTTGGGGATCATTTTAGCCTGTTTTGCCCTTTCTTTTTCTTTCATCACAGCTCTGGTCCTGGGAACATTTTTGAAGCATCACAACACACCCATTGTTAAAGCCAACAACCGGGACCTCACCTACACTCTTCTCATCTCCCTCCTGCTCTGCTTCCTTTCTGCACTGCTGTTCATCGGCCGACCTGGAAGGGTATTCTGTCTCCTTCAACAGACTGCTTTTGGCATAATCTTCTCAGTGGCTATTTCTTGTATACTGGCAAAAACTTTCACAGTGGTTCTGGCTTTCATGGCCACCAAACCAGGATCCAGGATGAGGAAGTGGGTGGGGAAGAGAATGACCAATTCCATTGTGGTTTCCTGTTCCCTTATTCAAATAGGTATCTGTATTGCTTGGCTGGGATCCTCACCCCCATTCCCTGATGCTGACATGCACTCAATGGCTAAGGAAGTTGTACTAGAATGTAATGTGGGATCTGTGACTATGTTTTACTGTGTCCTGAGCTACATGGGCTTCCTGGCTCTTGTCAGCTTCACTGTGGCTTTCCTTGCCAGGAAGTTACCTGACAGTTTCAATGAAGCCAAGTTCATCACTTTCAGTATGCTGGTCTTTTGCAGTGTTTGGATATCTTTCTTTCCAAGCTACCTCAGTACCAAGGGAAAATATATGGTAGCTGTGGAGATCTTCTCTATCTTAGCCTCTAGTGCTGGACTTCTGACTTGCATTTTTGCCCCCAAATGCTACATTATTGTGTTGCGGCCTGAGCTGAACAACAGGGAACATTTAATAAGAAATAAAGGCTGAAGAATTTATATGTCTGCATTATTCACCATAATTTCAAAGTTTAATGGTTTGTTTCTGTTTGCACAGCAGAGTATTCACGAGATATTTCCTCTCAGCAGGTGCCCTAAATATGTTTTCCCAGAGGCCTCAACGTTCTTCTAACTTGAAATTGGTTTCTTTCTTTCTAAAATTTAAATTCCATCCTCCATACAGAACGATCTCAATGTTGACAACGTAAACCCATTTAAACACTGCAGCAAAGACTCTTTATGTAGAATCTTTATATAATATCCTTTCATGCTATGGTATCTAGAAGCAAGCTGTTTAATCAAGAAGCCTGCCAGTATATGGAATGTATTTATCTGGCTAATGTTTGTGCCAGTTTAATGTATGGAAGAATAGTGGTCCACAGCTGTGATGCTATGTCTGACAAGGCACCGTTTGCAACCAATTGTAAATCATAGAGTAATTCTTGGTTTTATCTCTGGTTAGTCTGCAAAGAGCCACCCACAAGACTGTGCTGGATAATATGTTAAGCTCAGTTATGCTAAGCTAAGTGATGTGCAGCAGCTGAATGACCAGAAAGGAGCAAATCCCTGTGTCTCCAGGACCCTGCATCTTCATGCTATGGATACGAGCTCCTAAAGCTTTATACATGCTTGCTTTGATATGCACTAATTGGCTTGCTTAGATGGTGCGCTTATCTGTGGAACTGGGATGTTAGGCTCAGAGCCCAGAAGAGGAACTATCTGTAATGTTTGAGTATTTGCCACATAAACTCTCTTTGTCAGGTAGATACCTCGCTATATAACGAATGTATGAACTTTCACTTGGGTGTGGACAAGTCATCTCCTTGCTGTGAAGGCCATCCCCTGTGTGCTTTGAACTGGGGCAAGGGGAACTGGCAGGCCGCTTTGCTGTAAGCCAACATCTTCCTTCAATAAAGCATTAGACCTGATCATTCTGGAGTTTGGGGCTTCTTCCTTTGAACTCCTATACCATACAAACTCCCATGAGCCCTGCTCTGGCTCTGGGGCTGTGCTGTGCAACAGCACACTGGCACACACAAGGGCCATGTTGGCAACGCTTATCATAAAGCAGTGAATACAATATCCCTATCTTGCTGTCAGTGACTCCAAATCATGCCATCCGTTTTTGTATAGCTGAGAACGAATCTTTCAGTTCAGAATATGTGACAAACAAATTTTCTCTCAGGGGCTCCCCAACTTTAACTCAACAATTACTTCCACAATTACCTTGTCAGAAGAACTGCAATTACTTTCGATGTTCAGGTAAATCCCAGTGGAATATCAATGTCCACTAGCAAAACAAAGAGCAAAGTCTGTGAACAATGTAATAAATATACCCTGTAAAATTCAGGGGCAGGGAGAAGAACTGGGAGCAGGGCAGAGATCCACAGTTCTGCTCTTGGATATTCCAGGTTTGGGGCTATCAGGAAAATGTACAATGTTCAGCTCAAGCAGTTTTTAATCAGAGAGACTGTAATGATTATGCTGTAGAACAAAATAGGGGCTTTTGTATGTAGCGTTAAAATCTGGGCTTGTACTGAGAATGGTTTTAGTCATTTTGCTACTGGCCCTGTTACCTCATATGGCATGCATGGCTCACGGGGTTCAGTGCAGTGTCCGTTATCCACAGCCACCAGTTCACACATATTATCAGCCAGGAAACTTCATCATTGGTTCTGTAGCTTATCATGGCTGCGTGGTCACCAGTGAAATACTTTTCTCAGAAGAACCCCTGCCAACATTGACAGATATATTTATGTAAGGCCTTAATGGTTGTTTGCTTTTCTTTCATGCAATTTGACCCTGGGATAATGAGCATTAGAGCCGCACCTTCAGATCACTGAGTTCTTGTCTTTAGAAGAGTGAATGCAGGGGTGACCAAGGTGCTGTCCTCTGAGTGCCGTTAGAATGCAACTCCCATCAGCCCTAGGCAAAATGACCAATGGCCAGAGTTATAGGAGTTGTACAATGACTAACCATCAATTAGGGGATCCTGAAAAAAACAGAGGGTTTGTTTTGTCAAGTGTCAAAAAAGGTACCATGGATGGATGGAGGAAGTTTGTGTATCAGTTTTAGTTTTGACCATCTGTATACTGTAGATCCACCTCTTTATTCACTTTAATTAAAGTCAATTCAAAAAGTACAGATCTGTGATTTTTGTATTTTCCCCCAAATAGTGCACAAGCTTATGCTTGTTGTTTAGCATTTCTTCTTTCTTTTGGTAAGAAAGACTTAAGCCAAGCCTCTATTTCAAATATATATTATTTAACTTACTGTATCACCTGCTTTGCAGGGAAACTCAGAATAAAACCGCAGGATATGCATTTGAAGGCAGAACTCCATGTCATTTCTTCTGGGGCACCATATCAAGCCCCAGTCCATGAAAAGCTTAGAGACTCACACACAAACCCCTTTTGATTCTCTTTGATTCACACCAACATTGTTTTAGTATCTCCTAAACTTCAAGGGACGCGGGTGGCACTGTGGGTTAAACCACAGAGCCTAGGACTTGCCGATCAGAAGGTCGGCGGTTCGAATCCCCATGACGGGGTGAGCTCCCGTTGCTTGGTCCCTGCTCCTGCCAACCTAGCAGTTTGAAAGCACGTCAAAGTGCAAGTAGATAAATAGGTACCGCTCTGGCGGGAAGGTAAACGGTGTTTCCATGCGCTGCTCTGGTTCGCCAGAAGCGGCTTAGTCATGCTGGCCACATGACCCAGAAGCTGTACGCCGGCTCCCTCGGCCAGTAAAGCGAGATGAGCGCCGCAACCCCAGAGTCGGCCACGACTGGACCTAATGGTCAGGGGTCCCTTTACCTTTACCTTTTTAAACTTCAACAGATGCTCATCATGAGTATGACTCTGTGCTGAGTCAGCTTGACCATATTGGCTGCAATCCTTTACTAAATTACCTAGGAGAAGGGATGGATGAATCTGTCAAATTCAGCATCTCTGTCAGATGCTACCCAGCTTCTGCTTAATACCTCCAGCCAAGCATAGCTCACAACAACCCAAGGCAGTCTGTTTCATACTCAAAAAGCCCTTACAGATAAAACATTTCTTCTAACGTTCAGCCAAAATTTTCCCCACCAATTAACTCAAACCTTTTTGTCAAAAACAAGAGCAAATAATGCATTTCCACCTAATTTGTGGCAAATTTTCAGACATTTAACAATGGCTAACAAGTTTCCCCTTAAGCATTTCTTTTCAAACTAAATATGATCAGCTCAATTTTTCAATGCAGTTCATTTTCGCAAACAATATCAAAAAAGACAGCATACTCAGAAAGCAAATGGTGTGTCGTGTTCTGAATGTGAATTCTGGTATTGTATATCTCTTAGTGCAAAGAATGGATCAAGAAAGGGAATATTTGAATACTGTAATAATGAATAATTCAATAAGATGTACAACACAATGACAATGATTAAACATTGTATAAAATATGCTTTTGATACAGAATGCAATTCTCATTCCAGCATAGTGCCCAAGTATTACCAACACTTCACAGCCTTGGTTTTTGCAGTAAAGGAGATCAATGAAAACCCTCATATCTTACCCAATCTCACATTGGGATTCAACATCTATGACAGCCATAACAATGCAAGGAAGACCTATTATGCCACAATGTTGCTTCTATCAGCTCTGGAAAGATTTATCCCTAACTACATAAAGAACAACCAGAAAAATCTAATTGCTGTCATTGGGGGACTAGATGCCCACATTTCTTTTAACATGGCAAATCTCTTGAATAACTATAAGATTCCGCAGGTAGGAGATTTGTGTGTTTTTGTGTGTGTTATTGGAATTTAACTGACACTCACCATTACTTGTTCCTTCTTTTAAAAAATAATATTTTTATTAGTTTTCAATTACAGTCCAATAATAGCCTCATTATAACAATTCCAATTTATAATATAATTATTACTACAAATCGTTCAAGTACCGAATTATTTTATTTAGATACAGTGGGACCCCAGTGTGCTAGATTTGATGTTTTGATCGTTTTCTTTATTTTTGTGTTCCAAAATCTAATTAATTTCAATTACGTTCTGGTCATAATAAGAATTCCTCATACAACAACTGCAATATTAATAACTTCTATTCGTGTTGACACATTAAATGATTTATAAAACTACAAGTGAGGAACTCAACATATATCCTTGTTTTTCCTGTGTGTGGCAATTATTCTGTCTGTGGTGTTTCTTCCTGTCCTTGTAAGATGTTATGTTTTTCTTTCCCCTGGTTGTTGCTGTTTTCTGTCATGCCTTGGGCGGAGCTGATATCCCATTGTTGTTCCAGAAATTTCTCTGTTGCTCTGTCCCATGTTTTGTTGTTTTGCAAGTTTAATAACAGCTGCAAAAGGCACTCTGTCCCAGTGAATATTACCTGTTGCCACCATTTTTCCTCTCAGCCTGGGAAGAAGAGCAGTCTGTCGAACTGCAGATGACTCAATGAACTGCAGATTCATTGAACTGCAGATGAACCTTATCAGTTCCTGGCAGTTCACAGACTCCTTTCATCCTTCCTTCCTACTGAAGATATATGAGCAATTACACTTCCAATTAAATTAAATTCCAAGTCCTCTTAGTGTTATTCAGTTCACTTTGCAAATAATAAAGGATGGGGAAGAGTCAGCTCTAAGTTTCCATCGTAAATCTTTTGCAAAATAGAGCTTCGCTCCCTCTTTCCTTTTTTTACACGCACAGTTCCATTTGATGTTATAGTCCATATTTATAATCCAATTTCTTCCATCTCGTTTGTATAAATATAATTTGAACTAACATTCAGAGGAGGGTTGCTGAATCATAAATGTAGAGAATAAATCTTTAAACAAAGAAACTGTAGGCTCCTCTCCCCCTCACCGTATTTTGCTCTGAAAGCCTTATCTCAAGTTCAAACCTTAAAGTCCTTGCAGTTGATTTGTTCTGCAGTTTGTGATCTCATCTCTTCTAGTATGTTCCTGTACTTTAGTCCAATTAAGCTCTAATTAACAGGGAAACCATTGCTTATTAGTGGCAGTGTTGGTGGGTTTTCGGCAGGTGAAGTGATTTTGCACTCAGCACCTCCCTGCCCCCCTCATTCCATGTCGGAGTGAGAGCCAGGTACCGAGATTCAGCTCTCCCTATCCTGATAAAGAAAAAAGTTAAAGAACTTGTGTATGATCAAAATAACATTGCTTGAGAAGGGCTGTTACTCAGTGTTGGAGCATCTTCTTTGTATGCAAACTATCCCAGGTTCCATGTAGGATTGGGAAACACCCCTGCAAAGTCATTGCGAATCACAATACTCAACTAGATAGACAATTGGTCTTACGCTGTATAAGGCAACTTCCTCTAAGAGTTACCTCTTACTTTATCTTGACAATATTTTTATCAGAATGTTGGAGTCATGCAGCAATTAAAAAAATGAAAAGAATCCCCACTGTGTTTCCACCTCACCCATGGAGCCACTCAGTGGTCATAGATAATCCCATATTCTTTTAGTCACAGCTATCTTTAGAAATAAAGCAGTACAATTCACTTGTATTATTGTTGTGAAGACTGATAAGGTGTGGGATGAATCAAATGCCTTCCCCCTCAGATGATCATCCATCAGTTGTAGGAAGCAATTTTTGGCCATTTCTCCCACTCTTGCTAGGCCCCACACTTTACAAAGATCTACTTTGGAGGGTCCCCAAATCCTCTGGAGCAGATTTATAGAGGGGCAAGCACTCCTGAGGGGAGGGGGAATTGGCAAATATTGAATCCCTCCTTATTTTGCAGACAGGTAGCTTTGATTAGGAGAGAGATGGCATGGTACTCTAACGTTCATGGTTTTGAAACCTTCAGCATGACAGATACATTCTATTACTGTTCTCTTTCTCCCCCTTCCCCAATTTCTCTTCAGCTCATATATGGTTCCATTCCATTGATGAATGATGAAACCACAGGGCATTCCTTCTACCAGATGGTCCCCCGTGAAGCCCTTCAATATACAGGGATTCTTTCTTTGCTTCTATATTTCAAATGGACATGGATAGGAGTCTTTATAATGGATGATGAAAACGGTGAAAGATTTTCGCAAACTGTATTACCACTCTTTTCCCAGAAAGGGGTCTGCTATGCATTCATAAAAAGAGTCCCCCTATTCACTGATCCCTCTCAAATTAACCAAGTAGTAGAACATGGTGAGGAAATATATAATGAAGTAATGCATAGTACAACAAATGTTGTTCTGTTTTATGGAGAATCAAAATCAACGGTGTTCTTGAGATGGATTCCATATTTTGCAGAAAATCCACCATGTCTACCAAAAGCTATGGTATGGATAACAACAGCCCAAATGGAGCTCACTTCACAAGTGTTTCAAAGGAACTGGGAAACAGAAATATTTCATGGTGTCCTATCCTTCACAATCCACTCCAATGACTTCCCAAAATTCAAATCATTTGTTGAGAGAAGAAATCCTTTCAGCACAAAAGGAGACGGTTTCATCAGGGACTTCTGGAAACAGGCCTTTGGCTGTGTATTCCCAGATGCAGATATGGCAGATGTGGAGGAAATATATGCACTGGGGAGGAGAAATTGGAAAGCCTCCCAGCGCCATTCTTTGAGATGAACATGAATGGCCACAGCTATAGCATCTACAACGCTGTCTATGCTGTAGCCCATGCTTTACATGACATGTCCTCATCTAGACTCAAACACAGAGCAATGGAAAGTAAAATGGAGCATCAGAATCAACAGCTGTGGCAGGTAATATGCTCAGCAATGTTAATTGACAGACTACCACAACCGTGGTACAATAGACTCAAATCTATATAAGAAAATTCTTTCCCCACAACTCTACCACTGTTCATCTTTATTCATTTTCACCAAAGACTCTCCTCCCTGAAAGAGAGGGGAGTGGTTGTGGACGGGAGCCCGAACACCGCTCCTAGCAGGGGGCGTTGCCCCCTGCCTCCAGCTCACCTGGCTGGCGCTCACGCCCCCCCCCGGAGGCCATCCAACCAGGTGCCATGGGGGGGGCGTGTCCAGCAGCCTTTATGCTGCAGTGCCAGCCTCTCCCCGGCCTCATTTCTCTTTGTCGTCCTGTGCGAGTCAGGAGGATACTCTCTCTTCAGTGTTCCTGCAGCGAGAAGCGGCCACGTGGAGCTAACTTGGAAGAGGACTTCTGAGAAAGGGAAGCCTTTAATTCCTCCTTTACTTTACCCCCTTTACTTTGCCTTTTACCTTTACTTTAATCCCCCCACCCAACTCTCCACCTTTAATTCCCTCTTTACTTTTCTCCAAATACCTCCTAATTGTTCCTAATTTCATCTCTGATCCCGAAGCCTTTACTCTGTGTGTGTGTGCTTCTCCGACTTTAAATCAGTCACCCTGTGTGTGTGTGCTGCTCTTCAGGCTTCAAAACAGACACTCTCTGTGTCTTTGCGGGCAGCATCTCAGCGTGCTTGGAAGGGGGGAAAATCTGAGCCTTCACTAGCAGGCTCCTTGGTTTGGCTTGGAGCCCTTCCTCCCCCTCTCCCCACGTGCTGCCTTCTCCCTTTGGTGTTGCTCCCCCACACCTCCGCGATTTCAGGGGGCGGCAGCTCCATTTAAAAACTTCTTTCAGACAACTGCATTGCCCCAATTTTGCTATTGTCCCATTTTGCTGCTTATTGCTTTACCTTAAACCCTTCCTGGAGCTCCCTCACTCCACCCCCCCCCCTTGGTTTAAAAGCTGATAGTATTTCTGGGTCTGCCTGGTGTTTCTCTCCCGCTGTTGCCCCATAGTAATAAAAGCTATCACTGGGTGTTTCTTTATCTCCTTTAGTTTTAAAACTTTTCACCAACTAGTATGAAAATAGTAGCCCATTGGTCTTTTAAGATGGGCTCCTTGGTTCCATTGAATTTGGTATATGAACCATACTTGGTTTTATATCTATAAGGTGTATAGGTGTAGCTTTAAGAAGCATTCTCTCTGCCCCTCATTATTCTTCCCAAGAGATCCCTTTCTCTCACACACTTCAATTAACTAAGTAACCCAAATTCCAGTTCAAGGCTGTCCTCCAGATATTTATTGGACTACAATGCCCATCATCCCTAACAATTAGCCATGCTGGTTTGGACTGATGGGGGTTAGAATCCAACAAAATCTGGAGAAGGGCGCTACGTTAAATAGTTCTGCTTTAGGTTGAGTATAGACATATAGAAACATGCCACAATACATTCCAGCATTCATTCATGCTTGCTACTGCTTACTGTACTGCTGCAGTTGGTTTATTTTGCTCAAGTCTTTTTGACATTTTGAAATTTTATTTGTTCATTTAAGAGTTTTATCTATAATTTGGAAGCATAATGATAATGATGATAATGATGATAATGATGATAATGATAATAATGATAATAAACCTACAGAGACAAAAACAGTGAAACAAGGGCTAAAAAGCAATATTATCCAGAACATAGAACAGAAATCAATTCAATCACAGGTAATTCAATTTGAGTAATTACCTCTTTTTTATGGGGGGATGCAGAGAAACGCATACCCCTAAACAATTTGTGAATCTAAGTTTGGCCTCATTAAGGGGTAGTATTTCAATATGAGTAGGAAAATGAGAGCACCCCTAAACATTTTTATTAGAAAAAAGCAATGTATATATCTCTGTGTGAGAGAGAATAAAACATTTTTTAAAATACTTGCTGTCCTCAGCAACATAAAAACCCTACTTATACACAAACAAATTCAGCAAACTATACTTCTGGGGGGGGGGAATAAATGCAATGAATCATCTGTTGGGACAGTAGCAGTTATGCATATTATTATTATTATTATTATTATTATTATTATTATTATTATACCACCATATACCTGGAGGTCTCAGGGTGGTTCACATAAAAGGATCACAGTATATAAAATAAAAATAAAAGCAGTAACCAAAAAGAGCCACATTTTAAAAGGGTATGGGATGTTGGTTAAAAAAGGCCTGGTTAAAAAAGAACGTTTTTGCCCAGTGCCTAAAGGTGTATGAATGAATGTGCAAACTATTCAATGTAATGGGTGAATGTTCAAAAAAGACATTTGCTGTAGAAGCATTTATTGGAATATACGTTTTCATGATGGGAGTCAAATAGGTGGATACCCAAATAGCTTCCTGGTGGCATCATCACTGCTCTTGGCCAGAAGGGAGATTAGCAGGGGGAAGTGGCAGGGAAGTTGAGATAGAGAAGCTGCCCTGTGGGAGCACTGGTTCTGCTGGTGCACTCAAGCTACACAGATCTCTCCACTGCCTTCCTCCTCTCCATCACTCTCTTGGGAAAGAGTATGAACAAACGTGACAGGAAGTTTGCTTTGTGGTGGTATAATGTATTGCATTTTGTAAACTGATGTGAGACTTCTGTTTAAGGCAACTCTTAAGTCAAATTCATTATAACATTGACAATAATGTCACAGTTATGATTTTCATCATTAATTGTATCTGCTCCCATCTCTAAATCATAAACAGTGAGAGTATTTTTCATGTTTTCCCGCCAAATCAAAACCCATACATAACATTACTTCTTGATATGAAAAAGTCCTTTCTCAACTCTTACCTTCTTCTAACCAACCTAGCTCCATCATTTCCTCAGAAGTGTCTCCTTTAACAACAATGCTGGAGACACAGTTTCCTTTGACCAGAATGGGGAGATAGTGGCTGGATTTGATGTGATCAACTGGATTGTTTTCCCAAACCAATCATTTCATAGGGTGAAAGTTGGAAGGGTGGATCCTAACCAAGTGTTCACCATCAATGCGGATGCCATAACATGGTACAGTGGGTTTAACCAGGTAAGTCCCTTGCCTAGTGAACATTATATCCAATTTTGAATGAGTACAAACTGTCTGGGGTGTATGTGGTGTTAGGGATGGGGTAGTACCTCTGGTGGGCAACATATTATGCTTTTTCTGGGGTAGTTTGTACACCTTTGGTCCCCACCCTGCTCTCAGCCCTCAGCTATAACTCCTAGAAGCTTGCAGCATAGGACAATGGCCAAACCCTGGGAAAGGTTTCAACTGGCCTGATAAGTGAGGTGAGGGTAGTCAATGGGTCTCAAACCCTTGTTTAGTAAGGGACTTCACCTGCAGGCAAATGCATGCTCCGGTGGATAGAGCAGACAAGAGCAATACGGGGTTGAACGGTCAAGAAGGCAGTTTTTGCACATGGTGTAAAGGAGAGTGAGGGGCAGATAGGACCTATCAACCTGGGAAGGTAGCCCATCTGGGAGAAGGAAAACTCTGGTGCTAAACCTCTGCTACTTGCATGATATTTTCAGGAAAAGAAAATGCTAAGAAGTAAAGCCTACACAGATCCAGAGTGACACACATCTGGGAAATCCAAGATATGTCATTGGGGGGGGGCATCTGAAACATTTTAATGGAAATGTCTGGGTTTTTTGGCGGGTGGGCTTGAGCTTGGATGCAGGCACAAGTGGCTTCGGTGTGGGGTCAGGCACGGGCAGCTTGGGCACAGTCGTGGGCTGCTCTGCATGCCACAGCCGCTGCCCCATGCACCCATACCAATCCACCTCCTTCTGCAGCTTGTACTGGCAGCAGCTTTGGCTATCCTTTTTTTTTGCTCTTCAAGATATGGCAACACTACCCTAAAACAGTTGGACAGCACATTGTATGCCTCCTTCTGGCAACTCCTGCAGCCAGACTGGTGCCAAATGTATTGCTCCATTGGACCATGTCAGTGAGTACAAAGGGGGTGGGTCTTGGGGCAGTCAGGAACCTCCATATACACTACCCGGGTTTACACCCCAGGGATGTCACTTTGGTTCTGCTAATGCAGCAGTTTGACTTCACAACCAGAGCCACACTCCATTGTCTCCTGAGACAAACAGATGCTAACAACTATCTGTCCTGATGTCTAAAACTGATTTATTAATAAGATATTAATGAAAACCTATAAAAATATACTGCTGCTGTTGTTGCTTTTTTTCTCAAAGAAAGATGAACAGTAGATTAAATATAGTATATGGGGTTCCAAAAGTTACTATGGCTAATATGTTCTCTCTATTAACCTAGAATGATTTTGAGGAAATGCAATATAGAATTTAATTATATCTCTATGTTATTTAACAGTCACCAAATTCCACCACTAGAAGCAGATGATACCTGGCACCCTCTGCCAGCATATACTAACAATGGGTTGTTGAAACATACCAATAGTTGAAAGAAAATGATATGTATGTATGTTTGCATGTATGTCTGAAAAAACATGCGTTGCAATGATTGAATAACCTAAAGTGTAAAAGCCCATATAGGAATCAAAGTAGAGAATCAATTTACAAAAAACCCATCACTTTGACAAGTGTAATTAATGTAAATATTTAGGCACAATAGGATATCATTTTATTTGTGTTAATAAAGAAAGGTAGCAGTCTTAACCATATGCTGCTTATGGTGATATCACTTTGGAACAAAAAAGAAGTCAAAAGAAACCTAAGAATTACATCTCCTATTTTGCTTTCTCATTTTTGCATTAGACCCAGCCACTTTCTTTATGTAATGAGAGGTGTCATCCTGGCTTTAGGAAGAAAGTGAAGGACGGGAAACCATTTTGCTGTTATGATTGCATCCCATGTCCTGAAGGGAAGATTTCAGACCAGGAGGGTAAGAATTAAGTATATATTGTATTACTCGACACAATTGTTCCGACTTAAAGACAGAGGAATGTGCCTATATCACAGTTACTTTTCTTTAATGTTTGAAGCGTTTGGAATGTGCAGCCATTAATGTGCAGAAGTGGCTTAGTCCTGCTGGCCACATGACCCGGAAGCTGTATGCTGGCTCTCTCGGCCAATAAAGTGAGATGAGCGCTGCAACCCCAGAGTCTGTCACGACTGGACCTAATGGTCAGGGGTCCCTATTATCATTAGCTTCAGGTTACTCACATCAGTTTCTATCAAGAAATGATAATGCCTTCTGAGTAGTTATCTGAAGGGAGGTACTGATGATATTCAGGAAAGAATGTAACTTTCAGTGGGAGGGTTGAATTGTTCATGGATGGCAGCCATTAAACGCCACAACCCAGGCATTATGTATCCAATACTTTAAACATATTCACATGCACTTTGCACCAGGTTGGGGGTGATGTAGGATGCAGGAGGGGGGGAGGCATCGGGGCTTGCAGAGGAAGTATGCCACCCTGTGAGAACTTGGATCCTGAGCCAGCACCTCTGCCACCATTGGGACTGATTTGGTCTGAACACTCTGACACAGACCCACACTGGTAAAGCAATGGCAGGCTGGTGGGGGGTAGGATAGAATTGCACACTAATATTACATCTATTCAACAACACTTTGTATTGAGACTCCCAAACTTTTGTAAGATAGCTAACGTCCTAATTTCTACATAATAACACACACACACACAGAGAGAGACATCTGATTTTGGATATTGCACTTATACCTGCAGCACTGGGAGGGATAAGCAGTTTCCTTTGAGACTGCTGATGATCTAGAGATTTTACGCTGGAGCAAGTAGTGCTAGCACCACTCATCAGCTAACTGCTCCAGCAAAGGAAAGAAGGGGAGCTCATTTTTAGCTTCTGATTATTACCACCTTGAAGCCCTAGACTTACCTGCACCACATCCTGATATCTGGTGCAAGGCAGGTGGACATGGCATATTCAAAGGAGCCCCAAGAGTCAATTGAGGAGGCCTGGCATGTCAAGTTTGGACTGCAGGCAGCAGGTTTACCACCCCTACTCTAGTGAAAGGCAGAGCAGTTCAAGTCATAGTGGAGTACTTTTGATGAGAGGGGAGTGTGACTTCACCTGGCTCCATCATTACAGCACTTAGGTGGTATGCCTACAAGTGATAGAGAGGGTAAACACATGCCGGCATCATGAGATGTTTGAAGAACAGAAGTGAATTGTAAAATGATCTTTTTGACCCCCCTCAGCAACTTGCAGCTCTGGGCCTCTTTGCTGTGCCATCCTGGGAGCTGGCATAGCACAAATATAACAATTTCTTGCTCCTCTACTATTCTCCTAGCCTGCGTTAGATGCTGTGCTATGGAGCTATGGATGTATACCTTTTAAACAAGGCCACCAAAGCAAATTAACTGTGACTTAGTAATCCCACGTTCTGTGCCACTTAGAGGATGAGTGATACTTTTCATACTGCACGTGCTGAAGGAAGTATAAGACTAAAATATGTTCTCTGTTTGCAAAAACAACAACCCAATTATAACTCTCCCCACCCCCAAATTAAGACCATATGCCTTCTTTTTCAGACATGAATGATTGTAATAAATGCTCAGAAGAAGAATATCCAAACACAAATCGGGATATGTGCATTCCGAAGGAAATAAGCTTCTTGTCTTTTGAAGAAACTTTGGGGAACATTTTAGTCTGCTTTGTTCTTTCCTTTTCTTTGGTTACAGCTCTGGTGCTGTGGACATTTCTAAAGCACCACAGCACACCCATTGTCAAAGCCAACAATCGGGACCTCACCTACACTCTCCTCATTGCCCTTCTCTTCTGCTTCCTTTGTGCATTGCTATTCATCGGAAAGCCTGAGAAGGTGACATGCCTCCTCCGACAAACAACATTTGGCATCATCTTCTCAGTAGCTGTTTCTTGCGTGTTAGCAAAAACCATCACAGTAGTTCTGGCTTTTATGGCCACCAAACCAGGATCCAAGATGAGGAAGTGGGTGGGGAAGAGAACAACCACTTCCATCGTGGCTTCCAGCTCCCTTATTCAAGCAGCTGTCTGTACTGTGTGGCTGGGATTCTCACCCCCATTCCCAGATGTTGACACACACTCGTTGACTAAAGAAGTCGTACTAGAATGCAACGAGGGATCCGTGACTATGTTTTACTGTGTCCTGGGCTACATGGGCTTCCTGGCTATTGTCAGCTTCACTGTGGCTTTCCTTGCCCGGAAGTTACCTGACAGTTTCAACGAAGCCAAGTTCATCACTTTCAGCATGCTGGTCTTTTGCAGTGTTTGGCTGTCCTTTATTCCCTCCTACCTGAGCACCAAGGGAAAATACATGGTTGCTGTGGAGATCTTTTCTATCTTAGCCTCCAGTGCTGGTCTGCTGTGCTGCATCTTTGCCCCCAAATGCTACATTATTGTGTTACGGCCTGAGCTGAACAACAGGGAACATCTAATAAGAAATAAGGCCTGAAGAATTTGTGCACCTTCATGTTTTAGAACTCTGGAGTTTTGCTTTTGTTTGCACATCAGAATATTTGTAAGAGCTTCCCTTTCAGCAGGTGCCATAAATATGTTTCCCTACAGATGTCACTGTGTTTTTAAATTTATAATCTGTTCTTCACTGTAAAAGGCTCTCTATGTGGGTAGTATTCAAAAATAACAACATTAAATCAATTTAAAACTAGAGCAAATGATCTTTAAACTACAATATTCATTCTATATTATTGGAATAAATAGCTAGTTGCATCAGGGCTCCTCCATTATTTGTCTTCTAACAACAACAACAACAATACTCTGCCCATCGGACTGGGTTGCATTACATTACACATTGAAAGGCTTCCCTATACAGGGCTGCATTCAGGTGTCTTCTAAATGTTATATAGTTATTCATCTCATTGACATCTGATGGGAGGGTATTCCACAGGGTGGGTGACACTACCAAAAATCAACCTGTTCCGTCAGAAAGCTTGGTAAAGTGGAATGTGCTTTAATGGCAAAACCTTATATTATATAATTGCACATTCTATTTAATTATTTTATTTAAATATTTGTATACCTTTTTTTTACAAACTATATCAAAGCAATATGCAACAATGTTAAACAATGAAACTAAGAAAGAAACAAATATATCATACTTTAGTCCAAAAATACACACCAAAAAGTGAGCTAATTAATCAAGAGTCTGCAAATACTTGGGCTAACAAGAATGTCTTCAACCACTGGCAGAGCACATCACAGAAGGTGCCCACCAAATCACTAAATGAAGAATATTCCATAATATAGGTGCCACCACAGATAATGCTCTGGGTTATATTGCAGAATAATGTTTACTAGTTATGAATTTAATTGGATTAGTGTTTTATTTGTTTGCATCTCATTGAATTGTTAAATAAATGAAAGTATAAAATAAAATAAAACAGGAGTAAGGAGAATTAATAGGGCTTATTTCATTAGAGTATCCAATTGATTTTTTTAGAAAAACCCAGGGAGGAACCATTCAGGGACTCTTTCACATATACACAGGAAGGTGGCAGGCCAGAATACAGACAATGTCTATAGCTCAATGGATCACAAGTGGTTCACATTTCATCATGGGCAATCAAACTCATAGTTGCCTGATAACAGGGATTGTCAAAGAAACATGTGTGGCGTGTTGTGGGGACAAAACACAATGACTTTAATGTCAGAGCAGGTGACCCAATGCAAACATTGGTAATATCTGTGAATATTGATGGGGTATTCACAAAGAAACTTCACTCCTCTCATTGGAAGTACAGGTGGGCACAGTAGCACTCACAGGCACCATGTTGGTCACCCTTGAATACCGTCTTCTTTTCTTACTGGGGGGTCATTACAAGCTCTGCCATCTGTTCCTATCTGAGAGAGATAATTCAGCTGAGAATATGTGACAAACAAGTTTTCTCAATCCCATAGGGACTACCCAACCTTAACTCAACAACTGCCTTTAACCCAATAACTACCTTCACAATTACCTCGTCAGATCTGCAATTAGTTCTGATATTCATTCAAACCCCAGTGGGATTTCAGTGTCCTCTCACAAAACAAAGAGCAAAGCCTGCGAAGCCTGCTATTAATATACCCAGTATAATTCAAAGGGAGGAAGATAGACTAGGAACAGGCAAAGATCCACAGCTCTGATCTTCGATATTACAGGTTTTGGGAATATCAGGAAAATGTGAAATGTTCAAGTAAGAAGAAAACAGAGGATTTTGTGTGTAGAGTGAAGATTTGGTCTTGTACTGAGAATGGTTTCAGTCATCCTGCTACTGTCCCTGTTTCCTCACATGACATGCGTAGCATATGCTGTCCAATGCAGCTTCCATTATCCACAAGCTCCAGTTCAGACTTATAACCAGCCAGGAAACTTCATCATTGGTGGCATTGCTTATCACGCCTGCATCGTCAACAGTAAAATACTTTTCACAGAAGAACCCCTGCCAACGTTGACAGAATCATTTGTGTAAGGCATTAAAGATCATTTCCTTTTCTGTCGACACTCAGATAATGAGTGAAGTTGTAGACCCACATTTGGAGGAAGGTACCAGTTTTACTACCCCAAACCTAGCAGCTTCTCCTAATATTTAGCAAAAAGTCTGCTCTTTTTTGCAATTCTCACTCATTACTCATTTCCCTTTGTAGCAACAGCAAATAAGCCTGCTCCACCTTTTTCTTGATAGCTTATCAAATATTTGAAGACAGCTATCTTTTCTCCTTTTAAGCATTTCTTTTTCAGAATAAATATACACAGCTCATTCGACTTTTCAGTGTTGCTTGTTTTAGTAAATGATCTTTAGATACCCTACTCAGACAGCACACGGTGTGTCATGTTCTGAACTTGAACACTAGTTTTGCTTATCTTTTACAGCAAAGAGTTATTTAAGATTAACTGCTGTAATCATGAATAAATTAAAGGGACATTAACACAGTGGAAATAATTAAGTTATGTGTGGAATATCATTTTGATACAGAATAAAACTCTCATTCTAGCATTGTGTCTAAGTATTACCAACACATCGCAGCCTTGGCTTTTGCGGTAAAGGAGATCAATGGAAACCCTCAAATCTTACCCAATCTCACGTTGGGATTCAACATCTATGACAGTCATAACAATGCAAAGAAGACCTATCATGCCACAATGCTGCTTCTATCAGCTCTGGAAAGATTTATCCCTAACTACCTATGTGACAACCAGAAAAATCTAATAGCTGTCATTGGGGGGCTGGATGCCCAAATTTCCATTAATGTGGCAAACCTCTTGAATAACTATAAGATTCCACAGGTAGGACATCTCTCTCTCTCTCTCTCTCTCTCTCTCTCTCTCTCTCTCTCTCTCTGTGTGTGTGTGTGTGTGGTATGGGAATGTAAGAGACACAGTTGATGTAGTCTTATGTTTCTGATGTCATTTTATTTTATTAATGAATTTTATTTTCAGTTTTCAAAAATTTACAAGTACACATCTTATAGTCACATACTTCCAATACAGATACATATCAAGCCCCACCCACCCCACTTTTGTGGTTTATTCTCTTAGATTTTTAACACTGCATTTTCCACTGTACTCCATTTTTTAGTTACTCTACAATTAATCTTGGTAACACTTTAAACTGCTTGGTTTAAGTTAACTCTACCAATGCACTTAGTTGCATACCATTATTTTTTCAGATATACTACAAATATTTCCCACTCCTTTAAAAAAAATCCTCTTGGTTTCTTAGCACACCTGTTAATTTTGCCATTTTGGCATAATCCTTCAATTTAATCAGCCACTCTTCATTAGTTGTAACAGCATCCTCTTTCCATCTCTGGGCAAATGCCATTCTGGCTGTGGTTGTAGCAGACATAAACAAATTTCTAAGGTCCTTCGGAATTTCTGTATTCACTATCCATAAAAGAAAAGCTTCTAGCTTTTTTCTAAAAGTTATTTTGAACATTTTCTTTAATTCATTATAAATCATCTTCCCAGAAAGCTTGTGTTCTCTTACAGGGCCAACTGATGTCATTTATGAGGTTGTCAGTACTGTCAGTATACCTGCTTTCCCTTTCCCCTTTACTTAGGATTTTTTTTTAGTTCAGAGTGATTTCTATTTCTATTTGCAGATTGCCCTGAACTTTATTTTATTACAAGTGCAATAAAAGTGCAATTCAATTTATTACAAGTGCAATAAAAGTGCAGTTCAAGAGATGAAATACATTATAAGAGAAGTTGATATTTATGCTTCATTCATAGATGAGGAAAATTATAGGTGTGATACACAACTATATCGTCATAAACCATGTAAGTTTGCCATGTTAACTCTGATTTGAATTTGAAGCAAAACAAAAGTGCTCAAAACTTGCATTGCTGTTATTCAGGCAACAGAGAAAGTTCAAAACAGGCAGTATACTTTCTGCACCCAACGACTACATGTTCCTATTTGGAAAAGTCAATTGGCATTTATCTGTCTTGGGAGACAATGGAGGAGTGCGCCTTTGGAGGTGAAGTCAAATTGTTGGAAGGTTTGCCTGCTGTGGCTATAGAGAAACAACATTTCATTATTTATGTGAATCCACATGCTCTGGTAACCTCTGGATTAGATTACTGTAATGTATTATATGTGAGGCTGCCTCTAAAGATGGTCTGGTGAAGAATCTGGTAGCCAATGCAAGATGATTTGAGCATATCATTGATCCTGGCCCTACTGAACTAGTTGCGCGTCAAGCCCCCAAAACCTAAAGACACAATGAAGACAGAATTTAGTTTAAATGTTAATGGGCAAATTTAGGCCACGACTTTATTGAATACACAAGTGTGACTGGTATTGGCTTAGGTGTTGGTATCAGTGACTATAACTGGCTCCTGCCCCGCTCTGCAGGGAGCCTGAAAGGGTAAACTACCAGCAGGGAGAACTCCATAAATGGCTATTGACTGGTACTCACCCGTGGGGTTCAATCAGTTTATGGGCCCAATTCAAAGTGCTGATTTTGACCTATAAAGCCTTTAAAGGCTCAGGGCCACAATACCTCAAAGACCACCCCTCCTCATATGAACCAATCCAAACCCTGAGATCATCATCAGAGGCCCTTCTTCATGTGCCTCATCTGTGATAGGTCCAGAGGGTGGCAGCACAAGAACAGGTATTTTCTGTGCAATGTTCTTTTCAAGGAGGCTCGCCTGGCACCTTCATTGCATATCTTCAAGTGTCAGGCAAAAACATTTCTCTATAACCAGGCCTTTGGTTGATTAAACAATCTATATCCTCATAAAATATGTTTGCGAAAGGAGGTTATTGGTTTGTTTTGGGTTTTTTTGTTTTGTATTTTGTGTTCTCTCTCTCTCTCTCTCTCTCTCTCTCTATATATATATATATATATACTTGCAAACTGCCCTGTGTTCTTGAGATGAAAGTTGCTATAGAAATGAAATTGACTAATCAATAAAGCACAAGAGGCAGACTAGCCTCCACTAAAGCCAGTGTCAATCCCTCTGTGTAGCCACAGTGTTTTAAATAGAAATACAGGTTATGTGGTATGCAATATAAATTCTGTTATTGTTGTCTTACTTTCCCACCCTGCAATCTCTCTTCAGCTCATATATGGCTCTGTGCCATTGATGAATGCTAAATCCTGTGGACGTTCTTTCTACCAGATGGTCCCCCAGGAATCCCTTCAGTACACAGGGATTCTTTCTTTGCTTCTGCATTTCAGGTGGACATGGATTGGCGTCCTTGTAATGGATAATGAAAATGGTGAAAGATTTCTGCAAACATTGTTGCCAATGTTTTCCCAGAAAGGTGTCTGCTCTGCCTTCATAAGTAGAGTGCCTACATTAACTACTGACTCCCAAATTGATGAAATACTAAATGATGGAACAAAAATATATACTGAAGTAATGAATAGCAAAGCGAATGTTGTCCTGTTTTATGGAGAATCTAAATCCATGGTGTTTTTGAGATGGATTCCATATTTTGCAGAAAATCCACCAAATCTACCCAGAAGTATAGTGTGGATAACGACAGCCCAAATGGAACTCGCTTCACAATTTTATCAAAGGGACTGGGAAACAGAAATATTTCACGGTGTCCTCTCCTTCACTGTTCACTCCAGTGATGTACCAGATTTCAAATCATTTGTTGAGAAACGAAATCCTTCCCATGCAAAAGGAGATGGTTTTATCACGGGCTTCTGGCAACAAGCCTTTGGCTGTGTATTCCCAAATCCAGATGTGGGAGATGTGAAAGGGGATATTTGCACTGGGAAGGAGAAATTGGAGAGCCTTTCAGCACCATTTTTTGAAATGAGCATGTCAGGCCACAGCTACAACATATACAATGCTGTCTATGCTGTTGCCTATGCTTTACATGGTATGTCCTCATCTATATTCAGACACAGAGCAATGGAAGGAAAAGTGGGAGTGAAGCATCAGAATAAACAAATGTGGCAGGTAATGGGCTCAATTTCGAGTGGTACAGCACCAGAAGCAGTGCATGCTGGAGATGTACATGATATTGCATATACTGTGGGCCTGCCCCAAAATCACATTTTGGGAGAGGGAGAAGAAGATATAACTGAAATTGAATGTGTCTGTGTGTGTGTGTGTGTGTGTGTGTGTGTGTGTGAGAGAGAGAGAGAGAGAGAGAGAGAGAGAGAGAGAGAGAGAGAGAAGTGAAATAAATAAATAACATCTTTCCTTCAGGAAACCTCTAAATGTTTGTTGAAGGCCTTTTTGCCATAACCACCTTATCTAATGGAAATCCTTGTCTTTAGACCTCTTTCCCAACTGTTGTGTTGCTTGTTAATTCTATAATCAGGATGTATTTATATATTTTATTTAACAATTTTGTAATTGCTCCTTTCATAACCAATACTTAGAATTCCATCGGTGCATGTAGAGCTCTGTGTGTTAAAATTAAAGTATAAATTACATGCCTAATTTGTTGTTATTTTTTAAAATGTAAACACAGTGTGTGTGTGTGTACGTGTGCGCGCACGAGCGCGTCACAGCCCTTTTTCAAATTCTTGCCTTTTCCAATTTAACCTAGCTCCACCATTTTCTCAGAAGTGTCTCCTTTAACAACAGTGGTGGGGACACCATTTCCTTTAACCAGCATGGAGAGTTAATGGCTGGGTTTGATATGATCAATTGGATTGTTTTCTCAAACCAATCATTTCATAGAGTGAAAGTTGGGAGGGTGGATCCCAACCAAATGTTCACCATCAATGAGGAGGCCATAACATGGTACAGTGGGTTTAATCAGGTAGGTCCCTCAGGAATTGCAAATGACATCCAAATATCAGTGATCACTGTCTAAAATTAATTTCATCATCTGGTCATGAACCTCCATAGAATTCTGTTATTCGTTTAAAAAAAAAAAGCTAACTTACATAATGTCAATACATGCAGATCCCGCTATCTGAACATAATGCATTCTCAGTAAATCGTTTGTTAGCTGAGTGTTTGCATAATAAACCATCAATTTCCTTCAATTCATATCGGGAAATTTCAAATACATTCTCAATCACAGAATTTTGACCCCCAAATAACCCCAAAACAAAACAAAACAAAACAGGAGAACCCTCTGAAAACTTGCAAAAGGGAAGCAAAGGTGGAGGGAAATGATCTCTTATTTGCCCAACTTTTTTCCTTCTTCCCTTGTCCTCCCACCATTGTTTCAGGCAAAATGCCTGCTATGGACCAGAAGAACACAAAAAACTAAGTCTTGTAAAAGGCTGCTTATTTGTTTACAGTAGTACACGAAGGTCCAGCTGTTTGGATGTCAGAAAGTTTGGTGCATTTAGCAAGGTTTGGGCACTAAATCCTTGTGTTTGGATAAGTGAATTTTGGTACAGTGAGCATTTGGATAGTGGCACCTGTGTGTTTTGATAATATATAGGCATGATATGATACCATATTTATTGGGTTAATAAAGAAAAGTAGCAAAAGCTTTCAACCTTGACCATATATGATTTATGCTGATATTACTTAGGAACAAAAGAAAAGCCCACAAAAACATTTTATTATGTTTTTATGTGTTCAGGAAGCCACCTAGAGTGGCTGGGGAACCCAGAAAGATGGGTAATAATAATAAAATTGTTATTGTTATTTATTGATTTCAAAGCTTATTTTGCACTTTCATTTATTAATTAGTTGCAGCCTGTTTCTTTATGTAATAAGAGGTGCCATCCTGGCTTTAGGAAGAAAGTGAAGGATGGGGAACCATTTTGCTGCTATGATTGTATCCCATGTCCTGAAGGGAAGATCGCAGGCCAAGAGGGTAAGTACTAGAAAGTGCCTCTAAGCTTATGGCTGTTTTAGGACTACTTTCCTTCAGTGCTTGAAATGTGATTGTAATGTGTACCTTGAAGGGAGCAACTGTTGTAGAAGAAATTATCTTATGGTTGTGATTCATTTGCCTTGGGTTATTTACATAACCACACATTGAAGGGGGGGTCTCCTCAGGGGTCTCATCCATGCTGAGGGGAGAAAGCGACTGACAGTATTGGTGACCAGGCCTATCTCAGTACACCACAAGCACCTTTGCCTCCTCCTTCTTGGCCACTTGAATCTCCTCAGCCAGTGGCCTTTCCTGCTGTCATTGGGTTTGTGGTGGTGATAAAGGCTTTTGAAAGGCCTCTGCAATGCCTGCTGTACTTCTGCTGTACTGCCATACCACTTCCTCACTTACTTGGGTTGCACAGTGACAGGGGATTCCAGCAAGATCTTGAATAACTCTTACAGCACCTTGTGCTTTCCACAGAGCGGGCAGGGAGCCCAAAGGAACACCAGCACTTGGGTTTCAGCTGGTGGGCCGGACATGATAAAATTACACTGTGTTCAATATTTACACTGTTCCCCTATATACTTTTTCAGAGATTGAGAAATTACTAATTTCTCCCTGATTCCCTAATATTCAGTTTTGGATGCTGCTGGCATATATCTGTGGTGTCTGCAGCCCTGGGAGGAGAAAGTGGTGGGGAAATGTTAGCATGTTAACATATGTGTGAATGGAAACAAGCTAGTCAAATCACACCACTATTTGATTGCTCCAGCAATCAAATGCACACTGAATCTACCCTGCAATTTAAATATGAAATATTTCCTTTCTGAAAAGAACAATTACACCATGATATTCAGATTAAAACCACTTATTTTCTTTTCTAGACATGAATGATTGTGATATGTGCTCAGAAGAAAAATATGCGAATAATAATCAGGATGAGTGCATTCCCAAGGATATAAGCTTCTTGTCCTTTGGAGAACCTTTGGGAGTCAGTTTAGTCTATTTCGCTCTTTCCCTTTCTTTGGTGACAGCTCTGGTGCTGTGGACATTTATGAAGCACCATGACACACCTATTATCAAGGCAAACAATCGGGACCTCACCTACACTCTCCTCATTGCCCTTCTCTTCTGCTTCCTTTGTGCACTGCTATTCATTGGACAGCCAGAGATGGTGAGATGTCTCCTCCGACAAATTGCTTTTGGCATCATCTTCTCAGTAGCTGTTTCTTGCATATTGGCAAAAACCATCACAGTAGTTCTCGCTTTTATGGCCACCAAACCTGGATCCAGGATGCGGAAGTGGGTAGGGAAGAGAATGACCTCTTCCATTGTGGCTTCCTGCTCCCTTATTCAAGCAGCTGTCTGTACTATGTGGCTTGGATTCTCACCCCCATTCCCAGATGTTGACATGCACTCAATGGCTAATGAAATTGTTCTAGAATGTAACGAGGGATCTGTTACTATGTTTTACTGTGTCCTGGGCTACATGGGCTTCCTGGCTCTTGTCAGCTTCACTGTGGCTTTCCTTGCCCGGAAGCTACCTGACAGTTTCAATGAAGCCAAGTTCATCACTTTCAGCATGCTGGTCTTTTGCAGTGTTTGGGTATCTTTTGTCCCAACCTACCTCAGCACCAAGGGAAAATACATGGTTGCTGTGGAGATCTTTTCTATCTTAGCCTCTAGTGCTGGTCTGCTAGGTTGCATCTTTGCCCCCAAATGCTACATTATTTTGTTGCGACCTGAGCTGAACAACAGGGAGCATCTAATAAGAAATAAGGCTTGAAGAATTTGTGTGTCTGCATTGTTCACTATAGTTCTTAAAACTAAACGAATTGTATGATTGCACAGCAGATTGTTTGTAATAATTTATTTGGATAAAAGTTTTATTTTTGTCTGTGTTTTGAATGAAAAAAACCTCTTGAGACTCTCAGACTGAGGCCTTCTACTGTTATAATGTTGCAAGTGTAGGTAGAATGAGCATGGCATAGCACAAAAATGACTTCCATGGGGAAGTTCACAAAATACCACAAAATTATAAAGACAACCACCCCTGGCCGCCACATGCTTAGTTTGGGAAGTCATCCTTGTCCTTCTAGCCCTGACTATTGTAGATATCACACAAATACATGCAAATACAGACTTACTGATGATGTCAAATAAAAAAGGGAGAATTCCCCAGTACTAGGGGAAAAAATATTAGGTAGCTATGCCACTCTCATTTCACAGAGATTGCTCCCATAATACCTACAAATTTTGCTGCATAACTTTCTTCCTCAGATGTCTAGATATTTACTATTTTAAAAAAGAAAGTTCAGGGTCTGGGGTATCTGCCCATTGCAAATAAGGTATTGTGTTAAAGGGCATTCGCCAAAGAGAACTTGTCATAGGCTAAACATCCACTTGAAACAACCAAAGGAAAACAATAGAAAACTTAACTGACACCGCTTATTTCACTAGAAACAACACTTGATTTTATTTTTTTTAAGGTAGGGAAATTGCAGACATGTTCTCACATACACATAAGAAAGTCAGAATAAAGATAACTGAGTGCCATAGCCTATGACCTGATAGATCACAGGCGGTATAGGTAAAGGTAAAGGTACCCCTGCCCGTACGGGCCAGTCTTGACAGACTCTAGGGTTGTGCACCCATCTCACTTAAGAGGCTGGGGACCAGCGCTGTCCAGAAACACTTCCGGGTCACGTGGCCAGCGTGACAAAGCTGCATCTGGCGAGCCAGCGCAGCACACGGAAACGCCGTTTACCTTCCCGCCAGTAAGCAGTCCCTATTTATCTACTTGCACCTGGGGGTGCTTTCGAACTGCTAGGTTGGCAGGCGCTGGGACCGAGCAACGGGAGCGCACCCCACCGCGGGGATTCGAACCGCCGACCTTTCGATCGGCAAGCCCTAGGCGCTGAGGCTTTTACCCACAGCGCCACCCGCGTCCCCTCACAGGCGGTATAGGTCTGGCTAAAAGGATCATAATGATCAATGATGTCGGAGTTCCTAGGTGAGAGGCATCAACAAATGTTTGTAACAAAACCAGATTTCAGATAAAAAGCCTTGGAAGTAAGGATGGAATTTTCTGAAAACTGGGCTAATTTACACACACACACACACACACCCCATTTCCCATCTCACTTCTTGATTTGAAGGTGGGGACATGGCAAAATGGCTTCACTATTGTGGAGGCTGAGTTAGTGAAAAGAGAAACTAAATAGGAGAGAGACAACAGTCTGTCATATATTGTGGATCTTGATGGAGAGCTTACTGAGGCCATTCACTCTTGCCCTCAGAGGCAGTGGTGGGTACACTAGAACCCAGGGGCTTCATGTCAGTGATCCCTGCCATAAGGTATTCAATGCAGTTTCCTTTTCTAGCTGTAAGTCATTCCAAGCCCTGCCATCACTTCCTGTCTAACTAAGGGGGAGGGAGGACTTCTCTCCATTGTATCTGACAAACAGCTCCACAGGGACTCCCCAGTTTTAACTCTCAACAATTACCTTGAACAATTACCTTCACAATTGCTTTGTTTAGAAGAACAGTAATTAATTCTGATGTTCAAACATGGAGTGTAAATGGCCACTAGAAAAACAAAGAGAAAAGACTGTGAAGGATGTCATAAATCTACCCAGTACAATTCAGAGGTGGGAAGGGAGACTGAGAACAGGGAAATTTCACCACTTTGATCTTAGCTATTCTAGGCTTCAAATCAGGGGGAAACATGTAAAATATTCAAGTCTGGCAGTTTTAATCGCAGTGTCCTGCAGAAAAACACTGGGGATTTTCTATGTAGAACGGTTATTAGTCCTTGTAGTTAGAATGGTGACTTTAGTTATCTTGCTGCTAGCCCTGCTTCCTCACATGGCATGTACAGATCACATTGTTCAGTGCAGCATGCGTTATCCACAGCCTCCGGTTCACATGTACCATCAGAAAGGAGACCTCATCATTGGTGGCATTGTCCATCATGCCAGCATTGTCGCCAGTGAAATCCTCTTCATGAAAGAACCCCTGCCAACACTGACGGAAACATCTTAGTAAGGCCTTTTATGATTGTTTGTTTTTCTTTCTATTTATTTGGTTACTGGGCTAATGAATGCTGGAGCTGCAGCCTGAGAAAACTGTTAATGCAGTTAAGGCAGGGTAGCCAATCTGGTAACCTCCACGTTGTAGTTGTTAGACTACAATTCCCATCAGCTCCAGTCAGGATTGCCAAAGGTCAGGAATTATGAGAGCTGTAGGTCAACGTTGTGAGGAGTGAAGATTAACTACCCCTTAGCACAAGGGAATGATAAAAAAAATCCTTTTTTTCTTCAAGAGTCAAGAGCTAGGACTGGGAATTTTATGGCTTCAGTGTTTCAGCTCCTTTGCTAACTCACCAAACCTTTTTATATAACAAGGCTATAGAATCCCATAGTCTGGGTTCCAGGGCTGCAACATTCCTTGAGTGCAAGCATTTCAGTCAGGAAGGCATAATGGTGGGGGCAGGTTTCATATCAAAGGAACTAAAAACTGCTCTTTGGTATCTCATATGAATGTATACAAAAATGAATGTGATGGTGTGGGCAAAAATTAAAGATTAGCAAGGAAAGGTTTCTAAAGGAATGTTCAAAAGTTTGAAGTTTGAAAATCTCTCTCAAGATTGCTTTAGGGATACCATCCTGCCCACGAGATGCCTTTAATGTCAATTCCAAATTTGGGATAAACATGCATTGTTCTTCTTACTTAGATGTGTTATAAATCTGTAGGTTAATTTACACTTTGGTGCCATTTGTATCTGATAGGAGGAAGTCTGTTCCTTAGGGGCAAGATAAGGGGTCTTCACCATCTATTACCCATTTTATTGATACTTGTTTATTGAAACTCAGAGTCAGGAACTCTAGTCTTTAAATTTGTTTCACAAAATGAAAGTCAGGGTCAAATGGAGTTGGTCCCAGCATGCCTGCTCAGTCCAGTATAAATGAACCAAAGCAGGCTAGCTATGAGCTGTCATGCTTTATATAAATAGATAGAAAAAAAATAGATAGAAGTGTGTATGTTTTCAATGTAGTTCAGTTTAGTAAACAATCTCTGCTTAGAAGGCACAGTGGTGTGTCATGTTCTGAACTTGAATACTGGTAATTGCTTGTCTCTTAGGGCAAAGGGTGCGTCCAGAAACAGAATATACAAAATACTGCTATAGTAAATAAATTTAGGAGGCATAAAACACAGTGGTAATAATTAAACTAAAGTATGGACTATCATTCTAAACTCTTGTTCTAGTGTAGTGCCTAAATATTACCAACACATCACAGCCTTGGCCTTTGCAGTAAAGGAGATCAATGAAAACCCTCAGATCTTACCCAATCTCACTGTGGGCTTCCACATCTATGACAGCTATGATAATGCAAGAAGGACATATCATGCCACAATGTTACTGCTATCAGCACCGGAAAGATTTATTCCTAACTACCTATGTGACAACCAGAAAAATCTAGTAGCAGTCATTGGGTCACGGGAAGCACAGATTTCTATCAATGTGGCAAGTCTCTTGAATAACTATAAGGTTCCTCAGGTAGTATGTCTGTATGTGTGTGGGGTGAGTGGTATGGGAATTTAACCTACAATCACAGTTTATTGAGCCTTCTGCATTTTCATTCCATGATTCAAAGATATTAATTTTTGTCTTGGAAATAAAGAGACAGATTTTTAAAAGTTTACAAGTCTTCAAATCCATATTAACACACACACACACACACAAGAGAGAGAGAGAGAGAGAGAGAGAGAGAGAGTTTAAGAGAACGATGCTGCTCCCTAACATGGGTGGGGTGGAGCTGAGAGGAGGGAAATGTGCTTCAAAGGTGCTTAAAGGTATGATGTGTAGGCAGCCATTGTAGACCTCACTGAGGTAAATGGATGGATGGTCTGTCCTAGTATAAGTAAGTTCCATGTGTTCCTAAAGAGCTTGAAAAGGGTCTGTTTCATTTGTAGACTAACAGAAGTATGCTTAGAAATGAATCTAACTTGAAATTTGCAGCCCATTATTTCACATATTTCACATGTACATCACTGCACACAAATATGTGAGCATAAAGAACACATTCTTACTTTATTTTGAAAATGTACTTATCAGAAAGTTGGTGTAGTGTAGCCATTTAAGAATGGAAATTTTAAGCCAGTAAGTCTTCAGTGCATTCTTCCTTCAGCCATGGACACACTTGGCAGCCTATATTTTTTCAGTCATAGCTTCCTATCTGGAGAAAGGGAATAATACAATTCAGCTACCTTACATTACTGTAATGTTGTAAAGATCCTATTGTATATGTTGAATCCAATGCATTCTTCTTCCAATGACAGAAGGCATCCAATAGTGGAATAGGTAGGGAGGTATTTCGGACATTTCCTCTTGCCTTCTGTCACCCCCACACTTCACAAATTTCTACTCAGGTTATGTCAGCCAATTTTCTGGAGCAGATTTAAGTAAGTGTAGAGTTAGAGTGAAAGCAGGGGAGAAATGACCATAATTGACTCCCTTCCAGTGTAGCTAAGATGTGACTTTCATTAGGAGAGTTGAAAACAAGGGATTCCAACCTATTTACTATTCACTATTCTGAACTCTTCAATGTACCACATAAATTCTACCATAATTATATTCCTCCCCTCATCTCTCAATCTCCCTTTAGTTCACATATGGCTCTGTTCCACTGATGCACAATGAAATTAGAGGTCTTTACTTCTACCAGATGGTTCCTCAGCAATCCCTACAATATACAGGGATTGTCTCTTTGCTCCTTCATTTCAGGTGGACATGGATTGGAGTCCTTACAATGGATGATGAAAGTGGTGAAAGTTTTTTGCAAACTGCATTGCCACTGTTTTCCCAGAAGGGTGTGTGCTTTGCCTTCATAAAAAAAGTACCTACATTAAGTTCTGACTCTGAACTTACCAGAATACTAGAAGATGGGGCGAAACTACACAAAGTTGTAATGAACAGCAAGGCCAATGTCGTTGTGTTTTATGGAGAATCTATGGTTATTTTGAGATGGTTTCCCTATTATTCAGGAGTAGAACCACCAAGACTACCGAAAGGTATAGTGTGGATAATGACAGCTGAAATGGAACTCATTTCATTGGTCTATCAAAGGAACTGGGAAACAGAAATATTCCATGGTGTCCTGTCCTTCAGCATACACTCCAATGACCTACCAGGATTCAAAACATTTATTAAGGGACGAAATCCTTCCAGGGCAAAAGGAGATGGATTCATCAGACAATTCTGGCAAGAGGCCTTTGGTTGCGTGTTCCCAGATGCAGATGGGGGAGATGTGATGGGAGATATCTGCACTGGTGAGGAGAACCTGGAGAGCCTTCCGGCACCATTTTTTGAAATGAGCATGACAGGCTATAGCTACAACATCTACAATGCTGTCTATGCTGCTGCTCATGCTTTAAACAGCATGTCCTCATCTAGACTCAAACACAGAACAGTGGAAGGAAGAGGACTGCAACATCAAAACCAACAGTTTGGACAGGTAATGGGTTCAACATCTTCAAGTGGCATAGAAGCACAGTAGACCCTAATCTCTATAAGAACATCCTCCCCAACTCTTCCAATGTATTGTTTTTCCATCTTTCTTCATCTCCCATCAACTAGTAGTAAAGTAGCAGTGCATCACCCTTTACATCCTTCCTCTTTGATTCCATTTACCTTAGTATAGGAACAGTATACATTCTTCAAATATTTCTAGTTCATGCAGGGTATCCTTCTGTGGTCATTAATGTGAGTTACGCAGGTGGTGCTGTGGTCTAAACAACGGAGCCTTGGGCTTGCCAATCAAAATGTTGGTGGTTCAAATCCCCGCAACAGGGTGAGCTCCTGTTGCTTGGTCCCAGCTCCTGCCAACCTAGTAGTTTGAAAGCGCACCCCCCCCAAAGTGCAAGAAGATAAATAGGTACCCCTCCGGTGGGAAGGTAAGTGGCATTTCCGTGCACTGCTCTGGTGTCGGTGTTCTGTTGCGCCAGAAACGGAGTAGTCATGCTGGCTACATGACCCGGATAAACTGTCTGCGGAGCGGACAAATGCCAGCTCCCTCAGCCTGTAAAGGGAGATGAACGCTGCAACCCCAGAGTCATTCGTGACTGGACTTAACTGTCAGGGATCCCTTTACCTTTACCTATATAGGTGAAAAGATAAATGGCCCAATTTCTGTCCCTCCTTTCTCTTCATGGGTGATCTCTATTTCACTGTCTGAGTCATTATATCACCCATGTTCTAGCTCAAGAGTAATAAATGTGGTGCCCTCTGGACATTGTTAGACTGGTCCCATCATCCCTAGCTATTGGCTATGTTGGCTTTCCATTGTTTTTAAAATATTTGTCTTCTATATGTAAAAACAATGTGAGGCTTCCATGTAAAGGAACAAAGTCAAAATTAATGATGATGATGATGATGTCACAGTTATTTTCCTGATTATCATCTTGCCCTGCCTCTGAAGAGTGAGTACTCAAGAAGAGTGAGTACATTATGAATAATTTCCCGCTCAAAATCCATACTCAGCAGTAGAAATTAATATCACCCTATTGCATTTTCTAAACTCTTGCATTTTCCTCCTCACTCTAGCTCCATCACTTTCTCAGAAGTGTCTCATTTAACAACAGCAATGGTGACAAGGTTGCCTTTGACCAGCATGGAAAGTTAGTAGCTGGATTTGATGTGGTTAACTGGATTGTTTCTTCAAACCAAACATTTCATAGAGTGAAGGTTGGGAGGGTGGATACCAACCACGTGTTTACCATCAATGAAGATGACATAGCTTGGTACTACTGGTTTAACCAGGTAGGCTACAACTGCAGCCTTTGAGAAGATATCCAATTCTGGTTCTGATATCCAAATTTAATTGAATAAAAAATGAAGAAGCTGGATAAAATACTGATGGTTTGGTTTTTGTGGTGTTTTCCTTTTAAAAAAAGAAAAGAAATGATAGACGAAATAAATGGGGTTCCACAAGCTCCTTTGATTGTTTTCCACTTGTCTTTATTATTTCTCTACTGGTTTAGCTATATAAAATAACATAATCTATGTCATTTAAAATTCACAAAGGAACTTTCCCTCCCTCCTCTCTCCCTAAATCTGTTCCACAATGCTTTGGAGCAGATGAGACAAGGGTGTGATGGGCCAGGGAAAGAGAGAAGGTCTCTTAAAAGAGAAGGTCTGTTAAACAAGCAGCTGGCAGATAAATCTAGTTGGCTATCTCTCAGAGGGCTGGTCCATTTTGCTAGTGTAAAAATTATACATATATAGGCATGATGCAATACTGTAATTATTATGTTAATAGAGAAAAGTAGCACTTGCTTGTAACACTGAACATATATTACTGGAAGGAAGTATGAACAGAAGAAATGACCTCCAAAATATAATGGTTCCAAATATTGTTTTGCTCTCTCATTTATGAATTAGTCACAGCCTCTTTCTTTATGTACTGAGAGGTGCCATCCTGGTTTTAGAAAGAAAGTGAAGGAGGGGGAACCATTTTGCTGCTACGATTGCATCCCATGTCCTGAAGGGAAGATTTCAGAACAGGAGGGTAAGAATTATGCATCTACTAAACTATATTATAAAATACAACTTCTCTGGCTGAAAATCAAAGGGATGTGCCTTTAAGATTATGGCCATATCAAATTCCAGTGTTTGAAATGGGATTAATATCTTTGTTATGATGGGGCTTTGAGGGAACAACTGCTGAAGGAGAAACACTCTGATGTGTGTGCCTCAGGTTATTCAGAACAGATTCCATCAATAAAAATGACAATACAATAAAAAAAAATTAAATCTTTAAAAACTGTTTAAAATTTCTGAAGATAGTAGAACACAATACATTTGAAACACATTCAAAAACAGATAGAACCAATTCATGTTTTTGGATAGGCCTACTGCAACAAAAAGGTTTTCAGCAGTCATTTAAATGAACAGACCCTCCAAGTTTCCTTATTTTCCAGGGGCAGTTCTCGATTTACAGCCTTTTCCTGTCCCAGGTCCTGTCCCAGGTCTTTCCCAGTCTGCCCACTTCATACCCCTTGTGATCCCAGGAGACTGGGGAGGGGTGGGGAGCTGGTCACAGCAGGAGGAGGTGACCATTTGGCTTCTTCGGCAGCCTGCCTAATTTCTGCCTCTTGGCCTCCTTCCTTTCCTACCTCTGATTCCGGACTGCTTTCTGCCACAGACTCTTTCTACTCACCAAACCCTGTTACTTCTTTAGCTTCTGACACCTCTTCCTTCCAGTCTTATCTCTCTTCTCCCTCTGATCTCCCATCATCATCCCACCACCAGTCCCCAGATTCTGAGTCTTCTTCCCTTGGGGGTTTCCCAGATGGTGCCTCCTACCCCTCCTCTGCATCCAGCAAATCCATGAAATTATATAACAGAATTCTGTCGGATTTGGGTCTGATCATTGTGCCACAACTAGGCAGAAACTGCAACATGCTGAATCCGAAGCTGGCCCTGATGCTGGCAAGCTACAAATATATAGGATGTTTTTTCTCGGTTTCTGCTGTGGCAGTTCTATAGATGTATATTCATTTTTACCACCCCAGAAAGTTAAGATAATGTTGATTTAGAACCACAAAGCTTTATGCTGATTAAATCATCCATGGAATATTTCATTTTGTAAACTCTAAATCTATCTTGCAAGGTGAACACAAAACATACTAAAGGAACAATTGCAGCCTGCTTTTTGGAGTAAGACAACATACTTTTTCCCCCCAGACATGAATGGCTGTAATAAATGCCTAGAAGAAGAATATCCAAACAACAATCGGGATGTGTGTATTCCCAAGGATATAAGCTTCTTGACTTATGGAGAACCTTTGGGGATCATTTTAGCCTGTTTTGCTCTTTCCTTTTCTTTGATTACAGCTCTGGTTTTGGGAACATTTATGAGGCACCACAACACACCCATTGTCAAAGCCAACAATCGGGACCTCACCTATGCTCTCCTCATCTCCCTCCTGCTCTGCTTCCTTTCTGCACTGCTATTCATTGGACAGCCTGAAAAAGTGTTGTGTCTCCTCCGACAAACTGTTTTTGGCATTATCTTCTCAGTGGCTGTTTCTTGTGTGTTGGCAAAAACTATCACAGTTGTTCTGGCCTTTATGGCTACCAAGCCAGGATCCAAGATGAGGAAGTGGGTGGGGAAGAGAACAACCACTTCCATTGTGGCTTCCAGCTCCCTTATTCAAGCAGCTGTCTGTACTGTGTGGCTGGGATTCTCACCCCCATTTCCAGATGTTGATAAACACTCGTTGACTAAGGAAGTTATTCTAGAATGTAATGAGGGATCTGTTGCTATGTTTTACTGTGTCCTGGGCTACATGGGCTTCCTAGCTATTATCAGCTTTATTGCAGCTTTCCTTGCCAGGAAGTTGCCTGACAGTTTCAACGAAGCCAAGTTCATCACTTTCAGTATGCTGGTCTTTTGCAGTGTTTGGATATCTTTCTTTCCAACCTACCTCAGTACCAAGGGAAAATACATGGTTGCTGTGGAGATCTTTTCTATTTTAGCCTCCAGCGTTGGTTTGCTGAGTTGCATCTTTGCCCCCAAATGCTACATTATTTTGTTGCGGCCTGAGCTGAACAATAGGGAACATCTAATAAGAAATAAGGCCTGAAAAGTTTGAATGTACACATCATTTGCTATAGTTTCAACTCTGAAGATATGAGTCTGTATGCACAGCAGAATGTTGTAAGAGTTTCCCTCTCAGCAATGGATATATACATTTTTCAATAAAAGTAAGAGAGTATGTATCTGAGTCATATGTTTTACTGTTCTTACCTTTTAAGCAGCTCTTTTTAAATCCTATAATATTCTTTTTAAATTGTTCTCTAATAGTAGTTGCTGAGGAAACTCTCAGAGCAAATATCCCTGGGTCATGTGATGGGGTAATGATTTTGATGTCCCATGCATTGGGCATATAGCACCATATATCATTAGCACCATAGATCAGTCAATGACGGGATGTGGTTTGTCTATTTATTACTAAACTTTATATCCCATCCATCATTAATGTATCACAGTGTGGGTAACAACAACAACAAAAGTCAACATATCAGTTAAAAAGTAGAGAAAATAATCTTTATACTCTGGGTTCTCTTCAGATTGTATAAAACTTTTGGATCTCTATAACAAGATGCACCGTCCTTCAGGTACCATACTCTGTCACCTAGACTCCTGCTTTTTAATCAGAAAGTCTGGTGAAAGGGGGAGTGTATTTATCTGGCCAATGTCAGTGCCAGTCTAAAGCACAGGAGAAGAGTGTTTCACACCTAAGGTGTCATCACTCAGAAGGCCATACTTGTAATAAGCTGTAAAGCATAAGAGAATCTTTAGTTACAGCTCATGGTTGGAGCTAAACCACAAGCCCAGGCTTGGACAACATGCTAAGCCAAATAATCACTTTGCTCAATGCAGTGCAGCAGTAGAATAATAAGAGAGGAGCAAAGTGGCCAGGAGCCCATACATTCATGCATTCTTGCTGAGCCATGGTTGTCAGGCCATAGTAACAATGAACTCTGGTGTTGACTCTGGTGTTGATGTCTCTGTATTCAAAATGGGTCATCTGAGAAATAATGCAGGTATTATCATACTAAGGCCAAGAAGGTTATAGTTTGCCCATACTTGTAAATTTCTTAGCTGTGCAGAAGTATATGTTTGCAACATAAATATAAGAATAAACTGTGAGATAAGAACCTGTGCATTTACAACATAGTGAGGGCAGTTGAGCCTGTTCATAGAGAAAAGTGACCAATAGTACCCAAAGGTCACACAGACTGTGTGAGTCTCTATGGTTGAGCAGTTAAGAAACTGAATATGAGCAAACTAAGGTGTCACTAGAAAACAATCCAACCTCCAAAGCAACATTAATGCCAGTTGCCCATGAGGTCACACAGGACCAAACTGCATTTTGAAGTCAGGAGTTTCCTATTGCGGTTCTGCTTCTGCTTGAAAAAGTTAATAAATATCTTGTCTACTTTTCTTTTTCTTGTTTATTAAAGATATGTTCTCTAAACTTTAATCACCATGCGTGTGTGTGTGTGTGTGTGTGTGTGTGTGTGTTCGTGTTCCAGGGAACTTATGGCATGAGGTAGGGAGGAAATTCTCCCCTACACTATACAGGGATTGTTCATCCCCAAAACTCTCCCTTCTGCTCCCCTTCTCTCAGTATTCAGCTATAGAATGTTGTCCTTAAGCCCTGTCTAACTCAGTACAAAGAGAACCCAACTTTTCTTAGACCAGTCTAATGAGGAAAACTTCTGTACAGAATATGTGACAAACAAATTTTCTTCAGCAATTCCATGAAGAATTGACTTAATAATTACTGTCCTCTTTCCCCCAAGAACTGTAATTAAACTTGCTGCTTCTCAAAACCCCTGTGACATTTCAGTAGCCACTAGTAAAGCTAATAGACTGTGGAGGATGTTTTTCATATGCACAATACCATTTAGAGCTATGAAGAGGGAATGGGAAGAGGCAAGAATCTATTATTCTGATCTTGGATACCCCAGGGTTCAGGCCATTCAGGAGAATGTGCCATTCAAATCAGTCTCTTATGGTATTGTTGTAGAAGAAATGTTCCAGTGGCAACATTTGTACTCATCCCCAGGATGTCAGTTTTAGTTGTTTTGCTGCTGGTACTGTTTCCTCACATGGTGTGCAATGCTCACAGGGTTAGATGCAGTATTCGTGTTCCTCACCCTCCCCTTCATACATATCATCAGGCAGGAGACTTGATCATTGGTGCTGTTGTTTCTCACCTTGGCATTATAACCAATTCAATAATTCCCTTCACTAAAGAACCCCCACCAACATTATTGGAGGAGCTTGTGTAAGGTTTCATTCTCATTTATTATTATTATTATTTTGTCATTGCAATTATCAGTCCTACCACTCCATTCAGAGCTGGGGTTTATCAGCACAGGTCAGGGATTTAGAACTGTCACAGTGTAGGCCAGATATATTCTGGAGCTGGATTGCAGCTGGTCCTCTGGGTCTCCTCCTGCCCCTTAGCTGTCCTGCAGATGTAAGGCCTTTTAAGTGTGCAACTGATGCTCTTTCCTCTGCAAGGCATTCTGCTGCAAGAAGATCAAAACAGAGGAGGTTGAAATGATGAGGTCTCAGCAGAGAGGCGGGCTGTGCTCCTTGCAAATACAGTGGTGGGGTGGGGAATCAGACATGCATTTTGCAATTGCGTACCTTCAGTTCTCAAAATGCAATTGCATATTGAATGTTGAGGCTTTGAATACATGTAGAGGATGGCTTGCAGTTCAACTGTACCTTTGCATTATTTGCATTCTACTGGGCTTGTGGTACTCTTATTGCACAGTCAGAATTTATAAATGGCATTGGAAATCTTTTCCTTTTTAAAACTTTGTTTAAAAAAGCTAGTCTATAAAAAAATGAAAACTGAAACTTGAATAATAATAATAATTAAATATATACCTCTGTTTCTATAGGAAATAACCTTTTGTGTTTCCATATGTGTGTGTGAGAGAGAGACAGACTGCATGTCTACATGTTCATACATTAAGGATGTGTGATTGCCCATGTGTCTGGCTCTGCTTGCTATTTAATGCATTCCCAAAGAGCTTTTCACTGGGATAATGCAGTCAGCCTGAGAAAAGTTTCCCACACCTCATCCAGGAGGCAGAAATGTGTAATATGCTAACAAAAGCAAGGGTTTGGGTCCTAAGGATTTCAAGGGACCATGCTGAATTTACTGTTCTGGAGTCAAACTGGTTTGCAAAACTGGATTTAACTCAGAATTTTTAATCCTGCCCTTCAGTAGACTTGTCATTTATTGAATTCATATAAACCACATTAAACTAAAGACTGCCTTAATTAAAATAAGAGTGTATCCAGCTAAGTTCTGTTCAAAGAATGGTATTCCATTCTAGTCTTACACTGAGTAGACCCATTGAAAGTAATGGAGATGACTAAGTAAGGCACCTTAATTTCAGTGGATCTACTCTGAGTAGAATTTAATTGGATACAATATACAGTCAGTGTGGTGTAGTGTTAGCGTACCATGAAGCTCACTGAAGTGGGCCAGTCACTGCCTCTCATTTTAACTTACCTCACATGGTTGTTGTGGGGATTAAATGAAGAGGGGGAAAACCAGGGCTTTTTTTTTCAGCTGGAACTCATTGGAACTCAGTTCTGGCACCTCTCTGGTGGGCACCATTGCTATTATAAGAGAACAAGGGAGGTATGCATTGTGAGTTCCGGCACCTCTTTTTCTAGAAAAATAGCACTAGGGGAAACCATGTATGCCAGTGTGTGTGTGTGTGTGTGTGTGTGTGAGAGAGAGAGAGAGAGAGAGAGAGAGAGAGAGAGAGATTTAATGAGTTTAAAAACCTAAATGCAGCAATAAGGGCACAGATTAGCACAGAACACAGTGCCAATACTTAAACTAAGTGTGGATGTCCTTGCATGTAATATCCTTCTAACAACTCTCGTTCTAGTGTAGTACCTAAGTATTATCAGAATATCCTGGCCTTGGCATTTGCAGTGAAGGAGATCAATGCAAACCCTCAGATCTTACCCAATCTTACTTTGGGTTTCCACATCTATGACAGCTATGACAATGCAAGGAGGACCTATCATGCCATATTGCTACTGCTATCAGCACTAAAGAGATTGCTTCCTAACTATGTATGTGACATTCAGCAAAATCTAATAGCAATCATTGGAGGACTGGAACCCCAAATTTCTCTTTATGTGGCAACCATACTGGATATCTATAAGATTCCACAGGTAAGACATCATGTGTGGTGGTGGTTTGAGTATTCAACTCACAGTTTCTTCGGACTTCCAGATTTGTGTATGTGTGTATAATTAAAAGACAGAAGAAAAGTGTTTTGGACCTCATGATATGGATCTTAGAAAAATAAGACTACATGTACAGATAAAGGACAATAGTGTTTATAGTGCATTCATAAATTACACAAACACATACACACACAGTTTGTGTCCCAGTGTTCAAGTGGGTAAGCTTGGACTTTTATCCCTTTCAGAATTTTACTATTCTATTTGTATTTTATTTATAATTTTCATTTAGAACAAATATACATTTCAACAGTTCAGCAATAATTCTAGCATTTCAAACATTGACTTCCCTCCCCCTCTTTCTTCAGTTGCTTAAATTTATTTTCATCATTCCCTACATATTCCAAATTATCTCAACTTATTCTTTAGTTCAACTGTTTTTATATATGTTTTTGAAACTGCAAGTTTTTACAATAATCCTGCCATTGTCTTGATCTGTGTGCAATTTGTTTGTAAATAGTCAATAAACCATTTCCATTCCTTTATAAAGAAAATTGCTGTCTTGATTTCTTATTCTTCCAGTAAGTTTCGCCATTTCTATTAACTTCTGTAGCCATTCTTCTCTCATCGGAACATCTTCTTCTTTCCATTTTTGGGCAAATGACATTTTTGCAGCTGTAGTTACATACATAAATTAATTTCTATACTGTTTAGGTACGTAGCTCTGATCCCATAATCCCCAAGAGAAAAAACTTCTGGTGTTGTTGGTGTGTTTTTTTTTACAAATGTTATCTTAAACATATTTTTCAATTCATTTTATTCATTATATACATTTCCCAGTAAGCTTTAACCTTATTACAAGACCACCACATATGGAAAAAGGTACCTTCTTTCTCTTTACATTTCCAGCACTTATTCAATTTTGATTTATACATTTTTGCCTGTCCACTAGGTGTTAGGTACCATCTATATAACATTTTCATATCATTTTCTCTTAAACCATAACATGCTGTAAATTTCATATCCATGTTCCACAATCGTTCCCATGCTTCCATTTCTATGTTATGACCAATATCTATTGCCCAGTGTGTCATTGATGATTTCACTTCTTCATCTTTTGTCTCCCATTCCAATAACATCTTATACATTTTAGACATCACTTTAACATTACAGTCTAAGGACTCTCTCTGGTAGAGATAATTGTTCCCCAAACACCCATTTCATATCCTTTTTAAATACTTTCATTCAAATGATGATATTATATCCATGTACAGTCATACCTCAGGTTACAGATGCTTTGGGTTGCACGATTTCGGGTTGCACACCGTGCCGAACCCAGAAGTATTGGAACAGGTTACTTCCGGGTTTTGGCGCTTGTGCATGTGCAGAAGCAATGAATCGTGACCCACGTGTGCGCAGATGTGCAGGTCACGGGTTGCAAACACTGCGGGTTGCGAACGTGCCTCCCGCACAGATCACGTTCGCATCCCGAGCATCCATTGTATATATATAACATTCCTAATAAATCCTTAAACTCTTTTAATTTAAATTCTTCACCCTCCTCTCTTAGCAAATTTCTATAGGTTACCCAATTTTCCTCCCCCTCCCCCTCCTCCTCCTCCTTCTTCATCTTCTTCACCTCAATGGCATCCAATGGTGAAAGCCAAAGTGGTGTTTTTGTCTCCAGTAAAGTTTTATATTTATCCCATACTCTGTACAGATTTTTCCTAATTATATTCAGAAATTAAAATATTGTTCTTCCCTTTTTCTTTCTTGCAACCTGCATGTAGAATGAATATTGTTAGAGACTGAACAATTTTTGGCTATATAACTACATATAATGTGAAGAGAACCACTTTTGTGTTATGCTTGTATATTTCATCTTAGTAGTAAATATTATTTTTATTATAACTACTACTACTACTAACGACTAGTGCTTTCTGCAAACCACTTCTGCATGGACAGGCCACCTGCCAACCCCAGAACATCTGTAGGAAGGAGGTGTATTTCACAAAGTAGACCATAATTTTGACTGAAGCATCAATAAAAGACTCAAAGCATGAGTTACTTATATTCAGGTGAGAGAGATTGTTCAGCCTATGCAGCTATGTAAATTTTTTGACTAGACACATGTTTTGTAATGCTTTTAAGGATACACACATTTTTAATTTAATTTGAAAAGCCTTGTATCTGAATATTAGTGAAAAGAATGGCCATTTTGAGGCAATAAAGCTCAGCACAGTTCCTCTCTCAGATATGAGCCCATGAAATTGGAGTTGGCCAGACACAGATTCATTGCATGAGGGCAATAACACGCATTTATTTTACAGGGTTGTTGCAAGGATTCCTGGCACAATGTGTGCAAATTGCTATGAACAATGTAAGCTGGTTTATAAATGCTGCTATTATTTGCCTCCATGCATCTCTCCTTAGGTCATATATGGCTCCACTCCAATAATGAATGATAAAACCCCAGGCCTTGCCTTCTACCAGATGGTCCCTCAGGAAGCCCATCAGTATGCAGGAATTCTTTCTTTGCTCCTACATTTTAAGTGGACATGGATCGGGATCCTTATTATGGATGATGAGAATGGAGAAAGATTTGTGCAAGCTGTGTTTGAAGAATTTTCCCAGAAAGGTGTCTGTTTTGCCTTCATAGAAAGAGCCCCCAAATTCATTTCTGTCAGTCAGTTTAACAATATGCTACAACAGGGTGCAAAAATATATGACAGTATCATGGGCAGCAAAGCTAACACAGTGCTTTTCTATGGAGATTCTTATTCCATGGTGGTTCTGAGATGGTTGTTGTATCTACCAGCAATTGAGCATGTTGTAAACCAACCCAAAGGAAGAGTGTGGATAATGACAGCTCAGATGGAACTCATTTCTTTCCTCTATCAAAGGTATTGGGATACAGAAATAATCCATGGTGCTCTGTCTTTCATGATTCACTCCAATGATCTACCAGGATTCAAGACATTTGCTCAGAGAAGAAACCCTTCCAGCACAAAAGAAGATGGGTTTATCAGAGACTTCTGGCACCAAGTCTTTGACTGTGATCTCCCAAATACTACTGTGAGTGAAGTGGATGGGAATATGTGCACTGGGAAAGAGAAGCTAGAGAGTCTTCCAGAGATCTTCTTTGAGATGAGCATGACTGGTCACAGCTACAGCATCTACAATGCTGTGTACGCAGTGGCACATGCTTTGCATGCCATATCGTCTTCAAGAGCCTTGACAGAAAAAAGAGTACTGAACTTCCATAATCAAGATTCATGGCAGGTAATGGGCTCAACACAGCACCCTCACACAGCAGAGCACCATATCTGTGGCTGTTGCCAGGGCTTTCTTACCCATAGGTGCTAGGGGTATGGGGAACCCAGGTGCTGGGCTCTCAGGGGTGCCAGGCCGAGAGTCCGGGGCCCAAGAGTTGAGTCCGGGGAAGAGCCTGCCCATTGGTTGGAGTGCCGCGGTGGGCTCTTCTGCTGCGGGCGGCTCTGTACCGTGAGTTTGGGGGTGACCAAGCCAGCGAGATGCTAAGGCGGCTGGCCGGCTCCACCCTCCTGCATACCTGGGACTGGGCAACTGGGGGGCACTGGGTGGATATTTGCACCCCGGTACCACATATTCTTAAGACAGCCCTGGCTGTTGCATCAGCCTCTTAACTTTGTAGCAAACTCTCTAACCAATTTCTTGGGCTGTTCACATCACCTTCCCATCAGTTAACAATGAAAGAGTAACCTACACTTTTGTAAGCCTCTTTTTTCTTGTCTCCAAGCTGCCTTTGAAATATTTAGACCCTTGGACTATCTAGCTCAGTCTTCTCGACGCTGATAGTTGTTCCAGAGAATTTTGGGCAGCTGTCTTTCTCAGACCTGGAGATGCAAGAGAGTGAACAGTTGGGTCTTTGCATACAAAACCTGTGTTCTACTGTGTTCTAAATGTGTGCCACCACCCAAACAGTGCATATATTGCTGTGACCTTAGAGGCATTAAAATGTGATATACTGTATATTACAAATGTGCAGTAATTCTGCGCTAGGGCTCAATAATGATTTTATCTCACTCTGAATCAAACTACAATGTCAGAAAAGCTCCCCCAGTCTTTCAGTAATTTCTGCTTTTCTGAGAAAAACATATTTATGCATTCTTATATTTATTTAGGTTTCTCTAGGTCAATGGGCTTTGCAAGAAATAAGTCTATTTGCTGCTTTTGGAGCAGTGAAGTGTAATGGTTAAAGCAAGGAAGTAGGAACTTTCTTCCCTATGTAAAATCCTTATTACCTTATTAAAAATTGTCCACTACTCTGCCTAACCACAGAAAACATTTCTTCTGCAGAAGGAGGCCTCCCAAGACTTACCAGGGTCAACAAACCAATGAAAAAAACTCAGGTCTCCTCTTTGTGTTTCCTGAAATGCATTTCAGTTGAACTCTCCCCCCCCCCCCGTAAGACCCTCCCTGTCCATTTTTCCAGTGTGTTCATCTTGGAACTGGTATTATTTGGATTCTCACAGTTCCCCCAAATAGAAGAATAGTTTGAAAGCAGCTAATATGTCCTTTCCTCTTACCTGAAAGCTTCCTGGAATGATTTAATGTAATGTAAAGGTGGGATTGGGGACGCGGGTGGCGCTGTGGGTAAAACCTCAGCGCCTAGGACTTGCCGATCGCATGGTCGGCGGTTTGAATCCCCGCGGAGGGGTGCGCTCCCGCTGCTCGGTCCCAGCGCCTGCCAACCCAGCAATTCAAAAGCACCCCGGGTGCAAGTAGATAAATAGGGGCCGCTTACTAGCGGGAAGGTAAACAGCGTTCCGTGTGCTGTGCTGGCTCGCCAGATGCAGCTTTGTCACACTGGCCACGTGACCCGGAAGTGTCTGCGGACAGCACTGGCTCCCGGCCTATAGAGTGAGATGAGCGCACAACCCTAGAGTCTGTCAAGACTGGCCCGTACGGGCAGGGGTACCTTTACCTTTTAAAGGTGGGATACTCTGACTGGCAGGAGACCAAATCAGGCCCATACAAGAAGAGGTATGGGCAAGTAAATGATGACTAAATGATGACATATTCCACCTGGGACATAACATGGATCTATCTGGGTGGACTGTCTGAGAACAAAGGAACATAGAACTGGAGACTAGATGCCCCCCTCAATCAGATGCAGAGTGACATAGAGACACAGTGCAGAGACAGAGGAGGGAAGTCCATGAATAGGGAGGACATCACAGCTCTCTTCCATTAATCTTCCAGTAAGTGTGCAAGACCTGACCCCAACTTCTTCACACCTGTATTTCAAGCACAGCTGTTAAGACATTGGTGCATCTGTCTGATAGACTTTCTTGTACCTGAATCGTCACATGATAACAGTATTATCACCCAAACAAAGAGTTGATTTCATTTATTGCATTTCTGTGCTTCTTTTTGTTCAAATGAATCTCTGCTTATGAACAATATATAAAAATAACATAATAGAACAATGATACAAAGAATGAATCATAGTTCTCCCCCTACCAATAGACTATAGTATAGAGCATCCTGGTGCCCTTTTCTGATCTATTGACTTCGCTTTTTCAACCTAGCTCCACCACTTTCTGAGAGGTATTTCATTTAACAACACTGCTGGGGATGAGGTTTCCTTCAATCACAATGGAGAATTGGTAGCTGGATTTGATCTTATCAACTTGATCGCTTCTGTAAACAAATCCTTTCACAGAGTGCACATCGGGAGGATCGACCCCAAAGCTCCTCCAGAGCAAGTTTTCAGCATCAACGAGAGTGCCATAACATGGCCCAACTGGTTTAACCAGGTAGGATCCAAAAGCTGGCAGTTTGGAAAGTCTTTCAATTTTGCATGGAAACACTTGTCAATGAAAATTATTGCATTATAATGAATACCTATAAAATGTTGGTTGCTAATTGAAAGAAGCACAGTGCATAGGTCACAGTACCAGAATCAAAAAGCCCCTCAGAGTTTAGGGCACATGAAGGTAGATAATTCAGACTAGCATTCCTTTCCTGATCATTTATCCTACATCAAGTGTCAGTCTCTGCCTTCATTTGGATTCTCTTTGTCTTCCGTTTCCCTGTCAATTTCTCTCTCTGAAGGTTATATGATATCTGGATGTGCTTGAAGGCTTGTATTCTCTCACCAAACCCACCCTTGCCAACCTACAGCCCCTCATGTCTGAACACTAGTATGGCCACTTGCAAGAAAGCAGCTGACCTAACAGATTCTATGGGATGCCTGTGTTGGGCAAGTTAGGTTCTATATGTTTCTGCCCCCATTTTATGATCTTCACTTTATTAACTGAGTAATGTTTTGGAGGGAATTGATATATATGCTACTTTATTTATTTTTGTATATTCAGTTAGATATCACCCGTTATCAAAGATCAATGAAGCTGTGACACAGTTGCTCAAAACTGTATGCCCAGGAAGACTGAAAATAGATTGAAAGTAGAAACAAAGCAGGCACAAAACAAGTAAATATTATACTATAGGATAAAATGAACATGAAGGAGTACCTATGTATATATGTGAAAATCCAAGCCACATTATACCAGTATATAATATTTATACTATTAGGTAATAGTAAAAGTGTTGTTCTTAACATCGATTTGCATTTATTATCAGGTGCAAATTGTATGCTTCAAAGATTGTTTCAACCTAGAGTCAATGGTGAAACTTCCACATAGGAAGAAAATGAGGTAATAAATTTATACAGAACTGGTTGACAAAAATAGGAACTTAATTTTGTAACTTTTTTTTAAGACAGGCCGTAGGGTATCTAATGCAGTCTGTTGAATGGAATGCAGTACTGTATCTCTTTAGTAAGATAAGAAAAGATCCTCCAAACTTTAAAGACTCCAAATTCCTTCCTCTCAAGGCTATGGTTCATTTTTTATTTATTTATGGGTTAGACACAGCCTCTTTCTATCTGCACTGAGAGTTGCCATCCTGGTTCTATCAAGAAAGCGAAAGATGGAGAGCCATTTTGTTGCTATGATTGTATTCCATGCCCAGTAGGGAAGATTTCAGACCAGAAAGGTAAGAATTAAACTGTAAAGATTTAGAAAACATAAAGTCTTTGCTTCAGAGAATTGACATGTAAAAGAGGATTGCGTTTCTTTAGTGCTTGGAATATGATGGAAAGGTTTCGTTTTGAATGGCTAGGAAGAAGCCATTGAAGAGTGAAGAAACTGCCGTGTGATTGAAAATCACTTCCCATTATTATAGCATTACTATTTGTGTGGTCCTTGCTGTTTTTCTTTTCATATATGTGCAGAAATTGTATATATTTAATGAAATCTGCAAAGTGGGGGGGGGGAGTAGGGGACTATCCAAATTGCTTTTAAAACCCAATATTATTTTAACACCTCCATAATTCCAAAATATTTAAACCAGTGTTGCAAAATACCACAGTATCACAATGGAATACAGTTTGTAATTTTGAATAAATTGCATGGATCAGATTTCTGGCATGTTTGTGAAACCAAGACCATCTTTTCCTCTTCAGACAGGAATGAGTGTCACAAATGCAAAGATGAAAACTATCCAAACAAAAACCGGGATTTCTGTATTCCTAAGATTGTAACCTTCTTGTCCTATGAAGAACCTTTGGGGCTCAGTTTAACGTGTTTTGCTGTTTCCTTTGCTCTTAATACAGCTCTGGTGCTAGGAACATTTATGAAGCACCATGACACTCCTATAGTCATAGCAAACAACAGGAACCTCACTTACACTCTCCTCATCTCACTTCTGTTCTGCTTCCTTTGTGCATTGCTATTTATTGGCCAGCCTCAGAATGTGGCATGTCTCCTCCGACAAACTGCTTTTGGTGTCATCTTCTCTGTTGCTGTTTCTTGTGTGCTGGCAAAAACCATCACAGTGGTTCTGGCTTTCATGGTCACCAAACCAGGATCCAGGATGAGGAAGTGGATAGGGAAAAGACTGGCCAACTCCATTGTTCTTTTCTGTTCTTTTGTCCAGGTAGGCATTTGTATTGTGTGGCTGGTAACTTCTCCCCCATACCCAGATGTAGACATGCACTCAATGACTGAAGAAATTGTACTAGAATGTAATGAGGGGTCTGTGATAATGTTTTGCTGTGTCCTCATCTACATGGGCTGCCTAGCAATTATCAGTTTCACTGTGGCTTTCCTTGCCAGGAAGTTACCTGACAGTTTCAATGAAGCCAAGTTTATCACTTTCAGCATGTTGGTTTTTTGCAGTGTTTGGCTGTCCTTTATTCCCTCCTATCTGAGCACTAAAGGAAAATACATGGTAGCTGTGGAGATCTTCTCTATTTTAGCCTCCAGTGCTGGGCTTCTGGTGTGCATCTTTGCCCCAAAATGTTATATTATTTTGTTAAGGCCTGAAATGAACAATAAGGAACAGCTTGTAAGAAGGAAAAAATGAAGAATTTAAGTCTGTAATTTGATACACATCAAGGTGGAGAACCTCTGGTTTGCAGACCAGTCTTCATCCACCAGGAAGTCTAATTTGGCCTGCCAGGCCATTTGCACAAAACTGTGCACAGCTGCCCATCAATTGATGTCACTGATGGAAATGGATTAATATTGCATAGGCTTCTCCATCCTGCAGGGAATATAATTACACAGCTTGAACAATGTTTGATCTTTGCTATGCTGATGAGTAGAGAGGCAATATAAGTGGAAAATGGGGACTTGAAGGGGAAGACTTCCTCCCTCTTACCCTTTAAGTTATTAATCTCAGGATACATGAAGAAGGCCTGCAAAGGTTTTTGTGAATCTTTCTCATAAAGAAGTCTTTTAAAAAGACCCCACCTTGTTCCAAACTTCCTTCCCTTCCAAATGAACATCTTATGAGTGCAGGAAGAGCTGGAAGAGTTGATTCCACTGCCTTTGCTTGTGCAACCTACTTCTCCTTCCCACTAATGGAGAAAGAAAGGCCACATGCAGCAAGTCCGTCTTAAGTTCTTAGCAAAAGCACCCTTTGAAGCAGCCTCCATCCCCACCTTCAAAGGAAAACCCACTGTTTACCGTTGAATCAGAGCACGTTTCAGCCAGGTTTTCCACACATTGACGTTTGCTTCTATTCTGTGGTAAAGAGTGGGTTTTCCCAGAGGAAGCAGTGGGGGAAAGGGAAAACTCCTTGGATCCGTGCCTAGAAAGGATGGACAAGTGGAACACTGCTCTAGGATGAGCCCTAGGTCTTGATGACAGTGAACCATAGTGTGAAGAAAGTACAAAATTGGTTACTGCCTGAGCCCACAAGATCCTGTCTCCTCTGCTTGGGATAAGTAGCTATAAGCCTTTCATCCTTAACATTTAGGCCAACTAAATAGCTGGGAATGTAGTTAATTTTGACTAGATGGTTGGCACAGTTTTAGTGACCCAGTGTATAATTTAGCAATGGTTGAATTGCATCCATTTTAAATCTTGCATGTGGTGATCTTGCAATTCAGAGTGCCGGTTTGAACCTATAAGGCCTTAAACGGTTCAGAACTGCAATACCTCAAGAACTGCCTCTCCCCATATAATCCAACCTGGACTCTGTGTTCATCATCTGAGCCCTTTTTCATGTGCCTCTTCCACGTGAGGTCCAGAGGGTGGCAACATGAGAACTGAGTTTTTCGCAGTGGCTCCCTGCTTGTGGAATGCTCTGCTCAGGAAATTATGTCTGGCCACCTTCATTCAGCAGTTGGCTGAGCAATATTCTACAGCCTTTTAAGTGTGCTGGCGAGGGGCGGGGTGCTATTTTGTTGTTGTTGTTTAAACTATTTACTTGTGTTTCTATCTTGTTAAAACGTTTACAAATGAATTCACTGTATTATTTATTTCATTCCGTTTTAAGAACCACACATTTAAAACAATTACACAGATAAAAATAATTAAAAATAATTTCATGGGTGTTTGCCCCCTCAGTTTTTTGAGACCCCAGTTTCAGATGACATTTGTGTTTGTTATTGTCCATTGATTAGTTGTTAGTTCCTTGGGTAGAATTCATTTCCCTGCTTACTTTTCCTGATCAGAAGGAAAGCTTCCCTCTGGCCTGCCTCTCTGATATACTGAGTTTTGGACCGAGCTGCACTCTGAGCTGCAGCCTTTCATTGTCTTTTCACTCCATCCATATGATGTCTTAAGTCAATCAGAGTCAACCTTCCATTAATTCTTCTTCTGCAGCAAGGATGGGCAACATCGGGCCCACCAGTTTCTCTCATTTTCACCCAGCATGACCATTGGTCAGAGATGATGGGTGTTGTAGTCGAACAGCATATGGAGGGACCTCACTAGTTATCATTGCCCTCTCCATTCTACAGTTTATTTATCTCATTTACTAGTTTCTTGCTGTTCAGGTAGTATCATCAATAAAGGTGAAGGTTGATTTACATGAACACATGGATTGAATATAAGTTTATATTCAATCTATGAACACATGGATTGGATATAAATTTAGCTGGCTGGATGGAAATGTTGGTTAACAAGAATTGAGGACAGAGCTTCCTTAGCAAAATTTAAAACAAATCATTTATTCTCTAGCTCCAGATAACTGTTTATTATTTATAATGTTCTTCTCTTGCTGTATGTCATTCCAAGTCCACTTGTCCCTTGCTAGCTAAGTGGAAGAGAAAATATCTGTTTAGACATGAAAACCAGCTTTCTCCAGCAATTCCACTGGGAAATTCCAGGGCTGAACTAGTGATTATAATCAAAGCCTAGCAATTAATTCTGCTTCTGAAAATCCTTGAAGGCATTCAGCAGAGCTAATATCAAGGACGGGAAAAGAAGTCATAAATATACTGAATACCATTCTGAACTATGGAGAAGTGCTGAAAACGAGCATGGATCTTCCTGTATAGTCTAAGGTGCAGAACTATCAGGAGATTAAGCTTGCATGCAAGCCAAGTGGCTTTAATCACAGAAACTCTAGATCACACTGTTATTGAAGAAAACAGGAGAATTTGTGTGTAGAGAGAAGATTTGTACTTGTACTGAAGATGTCAGTCTTGATCATCTTGCTGCTGCTATTTCTTTCTCACATGGTATGCAAGACACACATTGTTAAATGCAATGTCTATGAGCTACAGTCTCCACTTCACAAATATCATCAGTCTGGAGACCTCATTATTGGAGGCATTGCTTCTCAGGCTCGCTTCACCGCCAGTCCAATACGTTTTGTTGCAAAACCTCCACCAGCATTGCTTGAAGAACTTCTGTAAGGACTTATTTTCCCTTCCTTTGATTGTTTTTCTCTCCATATATTTTGTCACTGGAATGATCAGTTGCAGAGATGGAGCCTCAGAATACTGCCTCGTTGGTTTAGGCTATAGAAAAAGATAATGCAATTAATATAATGTTGTGGGGAGGCTCCTATTTCTCTATGGAGAAGAATGATCAGTTCAAGCTTATTGCTTAAAATCACAAAATAGAACAGCAGAGATGGACAATGTTTAGCAAATATGCTGTGGGGGGGGGACATACTGAATCATAAAATAAAATTAAAAGCAACAGCTGGCAGTTGACACTACAGATGGTGTCATTACCACATCCAGCTCAGCCAATTATCTATGTAGATTTGAATTTCCATCCTCTTGTTTTATATTAAGACATAGAATAAAGGTAAGTGATCAAGCTTCTCCAGTAGTTTATTTTACATTGTTCTCTAAAATATGACTCCCGCCTTTCAATAAGAATGTAGCAACCCTTCTCAGGATCTTAATGAAGCAAGAAATTCATTTTTTTAAAAAATCTGATCAATGATTTTTCAGCTGACCAACATGATCTTTTTTTCTAGAACTTTGTGTCAGGAAACAATTGAACATACAATTAGGGAAATATTCAGTGTTGTCTAAAGCACACTGACAGAATAATATTTTTTATTATTTGTTAATCTACAATAGAGGGCATTAATTGGAACCTACAAAGATTAGGTTGTTCCTAAAAACTTATTGATCCTCTGGACTGAGTTGTATATTTTTTAAAAAGAAATTTTATTAATTTTTAAAATAAAGATAAAATAAAAACAGCCTCAAGCATTAGAAGAGAGAGAGAGAGAAAGAAGAACCAGGGTGGGTAATAGGGAGGGGAGGGGAAATGAATATAATACCCTACATTAATTCATATGATGCATATTTTATAGTCAGAGTCTAAGGCATCAAAAAATCACTTTACCCTAACCTTCTGAAATAGATCCTCTCCACAAACTTAATTGGACCATTGGGGGTCAGAGTTCCATCACTGTTGTCAATTGTAAAGATTTTTTGACCCAAGCAAACCACTCAAAAGCAAATATCTGCCATTAGGGTCATGGAGAGCATCTGTGAATACCAAGGGACCCTTTTTAGCAATAAAAGCCACACTCTGTGTCTTTGATGTTGCTGGTGCACATATTTGATCGCCTACCCAATTCCCTCTGAATATTTCTGCCCTCAGGTCTTTTCCTTTGTTGGGGGGGGGGTAAGTTTCCTGAATTGAAGCAATATTCAGATGTTCGCGTTTCAGTAAAGCTTCAATTATTGCTCTTTTAACTGGTGACACAATGTTTTTTAACCCATTGGCATTTGAGACATGAGTCCTTCGACTTTTTACATATTTCATTGCTGAATTTGGGGGAGTGCATCACATTACATCTCTTTGAAAAACTGCATCGTACAAACGCCTTTGAATAACGAGGACACTGCAAAACTAAGAGGGTATAAGACTTCTAACAAAACAAAAACAAAAAAAATTGAAGTGCATAGACTCAAGAAATCCCAGAGCAGGGAAACCTCCCTGATGCACCAGAAATGAAATGGGGAGCCAAGGCAGGAGTTTGTTCCCATCTGATACAGAATGCAACTCTCTTTCTAGTGTAGTGCCTAAGAATTACCAGCACATCCTGGCCTTTGCATTTGCAGTGAAGGAGATCAATGAAAACTCTCAGATCTTACCCAATCTCACGTTGGGTTTCCACATCTATGACAGCTATGTCAATGCAAGGAAGACAAATCATGCCACAATGCTGCTTTTATCCACACTGGAGAAATTTGTCCCCAACTATAGATGTTACATCCAGAATGATCTAATTGCAGTCATTGGTGGGCTGGATGCCGAAACCTCCTACCATGTGGCAACTATCTTGGATATCTATAAGATTCCACAGGTAGGACACTTGTGAGCGTGTGAGCATGGAATACAGGAATTGAACTCACACTTCCTTGGTGTATACATTTTGTGCATTGGAGAAAGAAATGACTGCATTGGAGAAGACAGATTCTTTCCCTTACCTTCTCTGTGAATATTAAGAAAAAGAAGCAGTCTTTATGTTTCACTTGTAAATCGGCTGGGGGGGGGCGCGATTTAACATTGGCATCAAAGTGGCTCACCAAGTGGCATTTGCACTGCTGCCTCCCCCCCCTCCTGATAAGCAGCAGTGGTCCACCTGCTGAGAAACTAGTAGTGTGATAGCTCCACCCAACCCAGGCAGCAACTTTATTTCCTATAATAAAAAGGTTCCTAAACTCTTTTAAGAAATGATATTGCGAGAGAATGAAGCTGAGAAAGGATTGTTGCCTTCAGAGCTGACCTAAGATATTTTGCCACCTGAGGAGAACCAAAAAGTGACACCCCCACAACCTGGGAAGAAGGTGTGAGTAAAAATCTTCGTCAGGAAGTAGAGGGGAATATGTACATTGAGCACAAGGGTAGAGGAGACCAGCAGCACCTCCTATTCATTGCAATATGTCTAGAGAAATTTCTATTATGGGGAGGAATACAAACGCCACAGATAAATGCATACCTACATACTAATCTTGCTATCGTCCCTCCTTACCCTAATCTCTTTTTAGCTCCTATATGGCTCTGCTCCAGTAATGAATGATAAAACTCCAGGCCTTTCCTTCTACCAGGTAGCTCCTCAGGAATCTCGTCAGTCTGTGGGGATTCTCTATTTGCTTATGCATTTCAAGTGGACATGGATTGGGGTCATTGTTATGGACAGTGACAATGCAGAACGGTTTGTGCAAACTGTGCTTCCATTGTTTTCTCAGCATGGCGTCTGCTTTGCCTTCTTGGAAAAAATGCCCAAATTTACTTTTGCCACCGAAGGTTATGACATGCTGGAACATGGTACAAAGATACATGAGAAAGTGATGAGCAGTAGAGCCAATGTAGTGCTGGCCTACGGAGAATCTTATTCCATGGCATTTTTCTTATGGCTTCCATATCTATCAGATCTTGAATATGTGAAAACTAAACCCAGAGGTAAAGTGTGGATAACAACAGCCCAGCTAGAGTTCAGTTCACTGGTGTTCCAAAAGACTTGGGATACAAAAATATTCCATGGTGCTTTGGCTTTTGCAATTCACTCAAATGATGAACCAAGATTTCACCAATTTGTTAAGAGCAGAAAGCCCTCCAGCACAACAGAAGATGGTTTTATCAGGGACTTCTGGCAACAGGCTTTTGCCTGCGTATTCCCAAATCCTGATGAGGGTCATGCAGAGGTGGATGTTTGCACTGAGGAAGAGCAGCTGGAGAGCCTTCCTGGATCTTTTTTTGAAAAAAGCATGACTGGCCACAGCTATAGCATCTACAATGCTGTTTATGCTGTGGCCCATGCTTTACATGCCATGTCCTTATCCAGAGTCAAATACAGAGCAGTGTTAAATGCTAAAGGACAGAAGCTTCAGAAACAAGAGCTATGGAAGGTAATGCACTTAACTTCTTCATGAAAGAGAGCATTTCATGGGTGTTTCAAGAAGCTTCCATCTGTGGTGAGAACTTTACCTCCTAACTCATCATCTGCTCAAAGTTGCACCTTTATTGTTCCTCCCATTAGCAAAAGTGGAAGTCTATATTTCAATTTGCCTTCTCTGTTTTGCATTCATCATCCAGCTCCCCTTTGATGAAGCTTTATTTCCCTATGAAGGTGTGGGTGAGTGTGTAACACACACACACAGCGAGAGAGAGAATTTGAGGGACTGGGTAGGGACATGTTACTCAAAATATTAGATAAGGTCATCCAAGGGTATTGTTTTATTTCCTACCCTTTTTCCACTGCAAAAAAAGAAATACTAAGCCACCTTTTTGGGCAATTGATTACTCTGAATCTAGTTTCTAATAACTCTACATGATGATATAACATCATTCCCAGGAATGCTGATGCAGGGGATGAAGAGGAGATTACTGTTTTAATAGACCTATTCCTGATTTTTTTAAAAGAAAAATAAATAAGAAAGGTAATCCATACCCAGACCACCTTATCTAATAGTGCATGTAAAGTCCCTTCTACTCAAACATTTGTGCATCCCAACCAATTTTGGAACAGTTTTCTCCTCCACTCATCCCCTAAATGTTGCAGAAAAAAGCTTGGTCAAATTTGTCTGTCAAGTTAATTGTAATGGCACGCAGCGTTGAAATTTCGATGGTGCATGTAGTATCCATGGTTTCTGTACATTTGCCACAAAGTGTGAGCAATTCTTCCATCAATCTTTTCTCACCCCTATACTGTTTCTGCTGTTAGTTGGAGAGAAAATTGTGTTGCAGCCTTGCCTAAACTATTGCCTTTCCCTTTCCAATTTAGTTCCATCGTTTTCTGAAAAATGTCTCATTTAACAGTAGTGCTGGAGACAAGGTTTCTTTCAACCACAACGGGGAATTAATAGCTGGGTTTGATATTATCAACTTGATTGTTTCTTCAAACCAGTCCTTTCACAGAGTAAAAGTTGGGAGGATGGGTCCTCAGGGTCCTGCAGAACAAGCATTTTCCATCAATGAGGATGCCATAACATGGCACAACTGGTTTAACCAGGTAGGATCCAACTGTAGGCACTTTAGAAAGACTTCCAGTTTTTAATGAGTATGTCCTTGGTACTCATGCAAAAAATTAATTTCATATAACAGTAAAAGTCCCCTATTAAAATCTTGCTTTTCACAGGGCATGAAGACATTAGGACCCACATATTTTTTGCCCTGGTTGCTGTGTTGCTTTATTTACTGAGAAATATTTAAATTAGAATTTGATTACATCACTGCTAATTGAATATAAACCCACAGTTGATTTTCTACATTCAGCCAACCTTCTTCCATTCAACTAAACTTGAAGATAAAGATAAAATCTCATTTAGTTAATGTTTAACCGCAGCTCAGATTTATCTATTTTCTGCATCTGCTGGCAATATCTGCTCGGAAACCAAATCTATGGTACAAAGCTAAAATTTAAATGTGTTGCTCCACCCACTTTTACCTCTGGCTCCACCCACCACTGGCATGAGACTCTTGATAGGCTGCTCAGAAGTAAATGTGGTCCTCAAGCACTCTTTACTTAGGGTCTACTTGAAATATAAAATGATTTGATATAACTGCATTTAGTGTTTTCACTAAAGAAACATAATCACAAAATATCTAACAAATAAACATGCATAAAAACATGCATGAGACTTGTTGGTATCAGGTCTCTGAACTGATGCATAATAAAGAAATTCAAAGTTTTACTGAAATGCCTTGTTCCTTAAGAATATTCAGAAATGCCCCAGAAATTTAATGATGCCAAGCTTATTATTCACCAGATTATCACTGATCTTTTTTATTTGTGGATTAGACACAGCCTGTCTCTCTTTGTACGGGGAGTTGCCAACCTGGTTCTAGCCAGAAAGTGAAGGAGGGGAAGCCATTTTGCTGTTATGATTGCACCCCATGTCCAGAGGGGAAGATTTCAGAGCACGAAGGTATGAAAATATACACCCACTGTATAGATTTATAATGCAGCATGGCTGTTGTTCAAGTGGAAGATTGGAATAAAACAATGTAATGTGTAGAGGATTACTTTTCATCCATGTATGAAGTGTGATTGAAATGCTGATAGAGGAGGGCCTTGTATGAAGCTGCTGAATGTAGAAGTTTTTGGGTTGTATAGTAATCCAAAGGAAGCCAAGTATCAGACATTAGGGGGACAAATGTAATGCAAGGATGTCAGAGTGGGAGGATCCAGAACTGAGGGAGAACGCCAAGACTCAGAACCCCCCAAAATGCCAGAAATCAGGAACATCGCTGTGGAGACAGGAAGCCTATTATATTGCTTTCTGTTTAGATGGAACCAGTAGCCAGCCTGGATGTGTGGGACCACTTGAGACTCTGAGAATACTCCAGTGACAAATCATGTCAGAGTTAAATGGCTGGGCAGGGTTGACATCATTTGATAAACCATTGTTATTATGAAACTACTTTTTAAAAAGAAGATCATAGCTTATTTTTATGGGGGAACAAGTTCAGTTCCCACTTCTTTTCAAGAAATGAAACCACTTCCTCTCAGCTTATCGACTGGAGGCTGGGATGTTAAAATAATAGCAGAGGGGGACAGTTGTGTCATTTAGTAGAGATTTCTACCATGTTCATGAGATAAAACCATTTTTTTCTTTTCTTCAGACATGCAGGACTGTCATAAATGTGCAGAGAAAGATTATCCAAGCAAGAATCAAGATTTCTGCATACCGAAAACTGTAACCTTTTTGTCTCATGAAGAGCCTTTAGGCATCAGTTTAATATCTCTTGCACTTTCCTTTGCTTTGACCACAGTTTTGGTGGTAGGAACATTTATGAAGCACCATGACACCCCCATTGTCATTGCCAACAACAGGGGTCTCACCTACACTCTCCTCATCTCCCTCCTGCTCTGCTTCCTTTCTGCTTTGTTGTTTATTGGAAAGCCACAGAAGGTGACCTGTCTCCTCCGACAAACTGCTTTTGGCATCATCTTCTCAGTGGCTGTATCATGTGTGCTGGCAAAAACCATCATAGTGGTTCTGGCTTTCATGGCCACCAAGCCAGGTTCTAAGATGAGGAAGTGGGTGGGGAAGAGACTAGCCAACTCCATTGTTCTTTTCTGCTCTTTTGTTCAGGCAGTCATTTGTATTGTGTGGTGGGCAACTGCTCCACCATTCCCACATATTGATAAGAGTTCAATGACTTATGAAATTGTGTTAGAATGTAATGAGGGCTCAGCTCCAATGTTTTGCTGTGTCCTGAGCTACATGGGTTTTCTGGCTGTTGTGAGCTTCACTGTGGCATTCCTTGCCAGGAAGTTGCCTGATAGTTTCAATGAAGCCAAATTCATCACTTTTAGCATGTTAGTGTTTTGTAGTGTTTGGTTGTCATTTGTTCCAACCTACCTGAGCACCAAGGGAAAATACATGGTAGCTGTGGAGATCTTTTCTATTTTAGCCTCTAGTGCTGGGTTGCTGGGTTTCATCTTTTTCCCTAAATATTATATAATTGTTCTAAAGCCTGAATTAAACAACAGGGAACAGCTGATAAGGAAAAAAAGATAGACGAATTTGGGCATATATGTCATCTAATATAATTTATACTTCCATCATTCCATGTGATTGCAAACTTGAAATTTCAAGTGGCTTTCGGTTTCAGAGCAAAACAGAGTGGTTTCTGCATAATCAGGAGACCAAGTAGGGAAATTGTAAATTAAAATATTAAAGCTATTATTTTAAAAGACACAAAAAAAATTGACAAACACTTTTTAGCTTCTAGGGTTAAGGGCATGTCATGGAAGGCATAGAGGACAAGCAATTCAGTAAAACAGACAACAACTTTATTGTCATTCGTAGATAAGACTAGAACAGGCTTCCTCAACCTCGGCCCTCCAGATGTTTTTGAGACTACAATTCCCATCATCCCTGATCACTGGTCCTGCTAGCAAGGGATCATGGGAATTGTAGTCCCAAAACACCTGGAAGGCTGAGATTGAGGAAGCCTGGACTAGAACATCAGCAGAAATTAAGTCCAGTGTTGCCTAGTGACTTCACTGCATGATGACATTATCAATGCAGAAAGTAAGTATAAGAAAATTAAGTACTTAAAGTTAAGGGCCTTGCTGAATCAGGGGAAAGGTCCATTTAGTGCACCATTTTGTTTTCACAGTGGCCAACCTAAGGTTTTCACAGTGGCCAACCCTTATGTACAAAATATCCATTTAATAGGGCTCTCCCAGTTTGTTTCGGGCCCCAAACATCAAGCAGGCCACACGCTGGATTTGATCTTTGGCACAGGTATAGATGTGATCATGTCTACTTCAATGAAGGTGCCATGATCTGATCACTACACTCTGAGAGCCAGTATTGACTTTCCACCCCCACCCTGCTTAGGTGGTGATCCGATTTGGGATTGCCCGCAGAAGCTGATGGACCCTGATAGATTCCGTCAAGCCTTGCACGACCTTCCTCCCCCCCCCCCCGGCGACTCATTGACTGAACTTGTTGAGGGCTGGAATATCCGGCTCCTGGTGGCCATCAATGAGATCGCACCTAAGCGCCCTTGGCGACCCCACAGAAACTGGGCTCTCTGGTTTACCGAAGAGCTCCAAAAAATGAAGCGAGACCTCAGACTGCTAGAGCGAGTATGACAGGGTGCCTGCGACAGAGCTTCAAGAACATCTTATAGGGTCTTTATGAAAACCTACGAGATGGCAGTGAAGGCCGCTAAGAAGTCTTACTTCTCGGCCTCCATTGCATCCGCTAGCTCTCACCCGGCGCAATTATTTAGTATAATTATGTCTTTAACGTCCCTGGAGGGACAGCCAAATTTAAATAACAATTTAACACACAGCTGTGAGGCATTTGCGAGCTTTTTTGCGGAGAAGGTCCTGTTGCTCCGCCGTGACCTCCCTGCCAATTTGGATACAATAACGGAACTGGAGGCCCCTCGACTGTCCTCGGGTCCAGTATTGGACCACTTTGACCGGATATCCCCAGCCAATGTGGACAGACTCCTCCGAGCTGGAAAGCCCACCACCTGTCCTCTTGACCCGTGCCCGTCCTGGCTGATTAGAGCATGTCCAGACAAGGTGTGTTCCCCCCTAGCGGATATCATCAATTTGTCCCTTGGCACCAGGACATTCCCAGGGGAATTGAAGGAGGCAGTGGTGCACCCGCTCTTAAAGAAAACATCATTAGATCCTTTAGATCTATCCAATTACCGCCCGGTATCAAATCTTCCGTTCCTGGGTAAGGTGATTGAGAGAGCGGTTGCTGAACAACTGGTGGGTTTCTGGATGAAACATCAGCTCTGGATCCATTTCAATCTGGCTTCCGCTCTGGTCATGGGACCGAGACGGCTCTGGTCGTCCTAACAGATGATCTCTGTAGGCAGCTGGATCGAGGGGGATCGGGGCTGCTGAGCCTTCGACATGGTCGATCACGAACTCCTAGACCACCGCCTTGCTGATGTGGGGATCCAGGGCACAGTCCTTCAAAGGCTGTGCTCATTTCTCTCTCTGGTCGGGGACAAAGGGTGGTGCTTGGGGGGTAACTGTCGTCGCGCCACTCCTTGGTGTGTGGAGTGCCTCAGGGTGCAATACTCTCCCCAATGCTTTTCAACATCTTTATGTGCCCCCTCGCCCAGCTTGTCCGGAGTTTTGGGTTGGGCTGCCATCAGTATGCTGATGACACCCAACTCTATCTGTTGATGGATGGCCATCCTGACTCGGCCCCAGATACACTGATCAGATGTTTGGAAGCTGTGGCTGGATGGTTACGTGGGAGCCGGTTGAAGTTAAATCCTTCGAAGACCCTTTGGCTGGGTCGGGACGATATGGGATGGGGGGGCAATTAGTGCCAGCACCATCCGTTAAGAGTTTGGGTGCAATCTTCGACACCTCCTTTTCCATGGAGGCACAGATTGCAGCTATAACAAAGGCGGCATTTTTTCATCTCCGCCAAGCTAAGCAGTTGGCTCCTTACCTCTCTCGCCCTGACCTAGCCACTGTGATCCACGCAACGGTCACATCCAGACTTGATTATTGTAACTCGCTCTACTTGGGGCTGCCCTTGAGACTGACCCAGAAACTCCAGCGGGTGCAGAATGCCACGGCGAGACTCCTTACAGGGTCCTCACTGTGGGATCACATTCACCCAGTGCTATACCAGCTGCACTGGCTCCCAGTGGAGTACAGGATCAGGTTTAAGGTGCTGGTTTTAACCTTTAAAGGCCCATATGGCCTAGGACCCTCGTACGTATGGGACCTTGGAGGTGTACAGTCTTCAGACAAAAACACCTTGGAGGTCCCTGGCCACAGAGAGGTTAGGCTGGCCTCAACCAGAGCCAAGGCTTTTTTGGCTGTGGCTCCGATCTGTGGAACGCTCTGTCACAAGAGACTAGGGCCCTGCGGGACTTGACATCTTTCCACAGGGCCTGCAAGACAGAGCTGTTCCACCAGGCCTTTGGCCAAGGTACAGCCTGATCCCCTCCTTTGGTAATTCTTCACAGAACTCTAGCCCAATGGTTGCCATCAATTTGATTTGAACTGATTTTATAATGAATTGATTTTAGAATGCTGTATTATTTTACTGTTGTTAGCCGCTCTGAGCCCAGCTTTGGCTGGGGAGGACAGCATATAAATAAAATATTATTATTATTATTATTAGAGGTTTTAAAAGCATTTAAGGAAATGGGCAGGAGCAAAAATGGGTCGCATTGAGGAATTCTGATTGTGGCAGGAAGTACAATATACCCTGAGTTTAAAAATTAAAGAAACACAGCTATCTGAATTTATACTGATAACAAGTGGAACTGAAAGAACCGTTTCCTTGTAAGGTGCATGGATTGTGATTTGAGTCTATAGCAACTTTTCATTCTACTGATTGTAAAGGACATTTTGTTGAGCCTTATTATCAAACATGCTAATTTCATCTGTAATTATTCCTGTGGTGCTTTTTTTTGCTGTGGGTATCTTATACTGACTAAGGCATTGAGCATATATCCAGCATCAGGTAGCTCCCTTGTTACTTGATAGGAACCTGGTGGGGTCAAACTTGCGTTGGGGAGTCACCTCCAACACAGATTGGATGCCACAACCCCACACAGGCCACCACTGGGAGAGGTGTACTGGCCCATCGGTCCCCCAGTGGACTCCCAGACAGAGTCACTGCTCCTGGACCCCTCTGACAGGGTAGCCCTGTGACTAAGAATCCAGCCCAATGCCATATCTTCCAAAGTTGTGATGGTTGCTATGAGGAAAGCGAAAACCTGTACATGTATATAGATTGTGATTTGAGCAGCCTAGGGCAACTTTTCATACTACAGATTGCCATTGTCAAGAACAATTGGTGAGATGACCAGCCTTATTATCAATCATGTTAATTTTGTCTGTAGAACAATTTTGTCTGTAGAACAATCATGTTAATTTTGTCTGTAGAATACAGCAATGCCTGGTGGATCTCTATATCTGTGGGAAAGAACATGTCATTCCAGATGTTGCAAACATGTTTCTTCACCAATTTCCACAAGAAATGCCCAGATTTGAACAGGTGATTACCTTTGTCTATAATTATCAAAACCAGTTAATTATACTGGATTGTCCAACCTCTTGTGGAATTTCAGTAGCCACAAGCAAAACTAATAGGAGAGGCTGTGAAGGATGTTATAAAGAAACCCAGCACTGTTTAGAGCAAGAGAGGGGAACTGGGGGAATCTGTGTGTAGATTGAAAATCTGCCCTTTTACTTATGATGGTTGTTTTAGTGGCCTTGCTGCTGGTGCTGTTTCCTCACATGGCATTGATAGCTCACATTGTTAAATGCAGGGTTTGGTACCTACACCGTCCACTTCACATGTATCATCAGTCAGGAAATTTCATCATTGGACACATTGCTTCTTATGGTGGTTTCATTTCCAGTTCAGCACTATTCACTGAAGAACCCCCACCAGCATTGCCTGAAGAGTTTGCGTAAGAACTTGATTTATTTCATTTATTTTGTTGTTAACAAATTGTACATACATAAATAATAAAACATGACAAGAGTAACAAAAAATGGATCACTAAACTTATTATTTTATAGTACATAATAATGAGATGATTACAGTAAACCAGTAAAACGAGTTCCTCAGTAAATCAGCTTTGAAAACACAAAAATTATAGGAGTGGGCTAATGAGTAATGCCATATTGCAACATATATATTATAGATATATCTCATCTGTATGTACCTTGGTTCCAGCAAAGAGATTTACTGTTCTAGTTGCATCTTTTGTATCCTGTATGAACCATATGCTTTATTCAACTTTCTGGATGTATCATTGACTGTTTAGTACCCATTTTGAGGAAGTCCTGGTTAGTAAAGCTTTACATTGTATTTATGGCTCTGGACAATTTATATTTGAAAAGGATTCAGTTTTTATGTATCCAGTATTAATATCTGCAATAGTTCAGTGAGACCTTTCCTTGTCCTGCTCACTAAGAGTCTCTTTAAACTGAAGCTGCTGGGGTAGGATCCGGAAATATCTGGAAACAAAGAATATACCCCATGCCAGTCAAGTATCCCTATTTTCTGAGACATTCGGTGAATCACAGAAGCAACCCCAAATTCTGAATTCATCAGAGAATATCCTGTTTTCCCTCCACCGATAATGGGAGAAAGATGAGCCGGCGCTTGCCACTTGCACTTGCACTTAGCAGAGGGACCTTCATGAAATGGAACATTTGTGTGTAGGAGAGGCAGTTCCCTGCAGGAGCAGAGGCAGCAGACACATGGCATGCTCTTGCTTGCCCCTCTCTGCCACTGTCCAAGCCATTGCTGCTGTCATGGCGGTGTGATGCGCAGGAGGAGGAAAAGAATGAGGAGGGAAGAGAGCAAGCAGCTTCCAGGTAGGGGCTGTGACAGGAGAGGCAGCCAGCAGATTCACACATCTTTTGGTGCCATTCTCCTGCGTGAGCCAGCCAACGAGCCAGCTAACATGCATCCTGATTTTCTGCTGGAAAAGGTTGGAGGGTATGTGTGCCCAGTTGAGCCTTCCCCAAAATCCACAACTGATTTTTTAAGGGTAGTGCTCATTGGCAATTTGGGGAAATGAACTACATCTCAGTGCTACCATCAGCCAAAGAATTTTCATGGATCCAAATTCATAATTCTGGCAGCCCTTTCTCTGTAAAAGTCATGTAACCTGAATTTTGACTTTTTGGAAACATCATTCTCATCATATCAGAGGAGATTTATGATTTCCATTATTTCCATTACAATAGATGTAACCTATTTTATTTATGTCACCTGATATACAAAGCAATAATCCTTCAGTTTACAAATGTCGTCACCACCACCATCACTTTCTTGTGTTCCTAACGCATGATATTAAAAAGATTATTTCTTTTTGATTTTCATTTTGTTCTCCAGCTTATTTTCAGTGAAAGCATCTTCACAAAATGCTTGATGTGTTTCATGGTTGGTGCTTCTGGTTTCCATTATCTTTGCATAGGCCACCTTAAACTAAAGACTGCCTTCAAAATATTTTAATAATAATGAGATACAGATGCAGAAAGTAAAGTAAATCCCATAGTGTTCTTTGGGTTTGCTTAAAGGTAATTCTGCACAGAATCTCAATCTTAAAATGTTATACCAATGCTTATGGGATTGAGCACCAATGGATTCAAAGGGATTGCTTTGGAATTACCTTTTGGGTTGTGCAACAGGTGTAGAACACTCTTCTGATAAAATACACTATTCTTATTCTAGAGTGGTGCCCAAGAGTTACCAGCTCATCCTGGCCTTGACATTTGCAGTAAAGGAAATCAATGAAAACCCTCAGCTATTACCAAATATCACCTTGGGCTTCAACATCTATGACAGCTATGCTAATGCAAGGAAAACATATCATGCCACAATGCTACTTTTATTCACACTGGAGAAATTTTTACCCAACTATATATGTAGCATCCAAAATAATCTGACAGCTGTCATCGGTGGTCTGGATGCACAAATCTCCCTTCATGTGGCAACTATCTTGGATATTTATAAGATTCCACAGGTAGGACATCTGTGCCTGGTTTTCTGTGGGGAATATTAAAAATTCATACTATTTTCATTCTTTCTTGCAGATTGTATTTTATAGTTTAGAGACAGAAATACATACATTGGGAGTAATCAGATCAACCATTATCTTTCTTTGCTTCTTTTGCAAAGCACACTGAGACTAAGAAAAAATATATTCATAGTTCATTTGCAAATGAGAAAAACCACATGACATTCATAAAGTTTAACTGCAAATCAGTACTACATTTACATGGGTAGTCAAAGATCTGGAAACAGAAAGCATGTCTTTCATTATTGCAGGCCATGTTCAAATGGACATCTTATTCATTGTTTCCAATGTGCCAAGTTGTTAATTCTTTGTCTATATTGCTGACATCCAATAATAATGAATGGGGTATCATGTGAGCCAATTGTTCGTGCCAACCATGGACTGACCATTTTGAAGACTGGGAAGCAGACCCATTCATAAAGTGGAGGTTAATTTTCACCGAAGTAACACCAAAATAGTTCAAAACATAATTAAGGGCTCATCTACACTTATCGTTGTTCCATATTTCTATGCACAGGTCTGAGCTTTCTAGGTCTGTGTCTGAGAGCTTGTTTCCCCATGAAAACCTGCTCTTTACTCAAAGAAACTAGGAATCCATGGAATCCATGGAAAAAGCACTTTGCTGTTGGCTCTGATTCAGCTGTAAATATTGAGTTTTTCTTGAGCAAGTGGGCGGGGGGCGTGCTTGGACACAGACTGGGAAAGTGTGGACCTCTGCCTAGAAAGTGTGGGGCAAAAGTTAAATATGGATGCGTTCTACCTGTTTGATGAGAGAACCTTATCCTGAAGATATCCAGCAAAGCAGTGGAGGTTGAGCACCAGAGTTTTCCTTCTCCTAGATGGGCTACCTCCCCAGGTTGATGGGTTACATCTGCCTCTCACTTCCCTCTACACCATGTGAGGAAACCACCTTCTCAACTGTTGGACCCACTATTGGTCTTGTCCATTCAATGCACCAGAGCCTGTTGTTACATTTAAGACCAACAATAATAAATTATTTTAATATATTAGTAGCAGGAGATTATCTTGGGAAGCAGGCAGATGCTTGGATGACTAGAGAGTCAAAGGTGTGCTAAAGTAGGATAAGGAAATTGTAGAGAAACTAAATGAATTCTTTGCAACTGTCTTCAACAGAGGAAGATATAGGGCAGATCCTCAATAATCAAATCACTGATGAGAGAGGCCTTACTCAGAACTAGCATGGCATTCAGCAACAGCAGCCTTAGACTCTAGGGCTGGCTGTTAGGACAACCATAATTCCCTAGGTTGAAGTTGGGGCTGGCACTAACTGCTTGTGCCCAACCTGTCCCACACCCCACACCACAAATCCCGCTGCACAGAACCACTTACGGTTATAATGATCTTTCCTACCCATTTCTCTTTAGCTCATATATGGCCCCGCTCCAGTGATGAATGATAAAACCCCACGGATTCCTTTCTATCAGATGGCACCCCAGGAAGGCCACCAGTTTGCAGGAATTCTCTCTTTACTTCTGTATTTCAGGTGGACATGGATTGGGATCACTGTGATGGATAATGACAGTGGAGAAAGTTTTGTACAAAACGTGCTCCCACTCTTCTCCCAGAGTGGCATCTGTTTTGCCTTTATAGAAAGAGTCCCCAAATATAGTTTTCTCATTGATGGTCTTGCCATGATGGAACAGGGGGCAAACATACATGATAAAGTGATGAGCAGCAACGCCAATGTAGTGGTAGTCTATGGAGAAGCTTATTCCTTTCTATTTTTTAGATGGTTTCCATATCTATCAAAATTAGAGCAAATGTCAAATAATGTAAAAAGTAAAGTATGGATAACCACAGCTCAAATGGAGTTCATTTCATTGACCTTTCAGCGGGATTGGGATGCAACTATATTCAATGGTGCTATAGCCTTCAGAATTCATTCCAATAATCTACCAGGATTTCATCAATACGTTGAGAGCAGAAACCCTTTCAGTGTAGAAGATGATGATTTCATCTGGGATTTCTGGCAACATGCCTTTGGCTGTGTATTTCCCCATCGCATTCTGGATGAGGTGGTGGGGGATATCTGCACAGGAATTGAGAAGATAGAGAACCTTCCTGCATCTCTCTTTGAAATGACAGTACAAGGTCAAAGCTACAGCATCTACAATGCTGTCTTTGCCTTGGCCCATGCTTTACATGCCATGTCCTTAGCAAGACTCAAACATTCACAAAGGATGAATAGAGGAAGGCAAAAGCTTTGGAAGCAACAATTTTGGCAGGTAAAGGAGTAGACCACCTCAAGTGGGCGTTACATTCTTTCCAACTCTTCCTCTACGGACATTTTCCTCTTCCTTCTTTTCCAGGCAACTAGAAAGTAGATTTAAGCCCTATTCAGCCAGGCATTCTGATGTCCTCTTTGAGGTCTGTGAAATCAATGTATGAATTATTTACAGAGGGATAATCATATCATTCTGTTGCAGCATGTAATGATAGTATTGCTGATTTATGTAGTAACATTTCATGAAATAATTTTGATGAGTACATCAAAGGATGAGTACATATCCCCTCCATTTTATTATTTGAAATTGAAATTATTTGAAATTGCCCACAGCATTATTCTACTGGTAGCATTAGAATGGGGATGGCAAATCTTTTTTTCTGTTTGAAGACTTCGTTTCCTCATGGCTAAATATCCTAGAATTTCATTTCAGCAGTAGCTAGGGCAAAAATGACGGTGGGCATGGTTGGAGCTAGTAGTGGACTGCACCACCTCACAAACACACATTCACATATACACATGCACTGACCATATAGATATGCATGCGGACATTTATTCACACATTTTTCTACACCAATTGATTCTCTTTCCCTGTCTCACTCAAAAACATACACCCACTAATATATTAACTCATTCATTGTCTCCCCTTCCCCATTAGGCTTTAGTTTGTAAATATAAAATTTACAGCATGTTATGGTTTAAGGGGAAATTATATGAAAATGATACCGTGGTACCTCGGGTTAAGTACTTAATTCGTTCCAGAGGTCCGTTCTGAACCTGAAACTATTCTTAACCTGAAGCACCACTTTAGCTAATGGGGCCTCCTGCCGCCGCCGTGCCCCCAGAGCACAATTTCTGTTCTCATCCTGAAGCAAAGTTCTTAACCTGAGGTACTATTTCTGGATTAGCAGAGTCTGTAACCTGAAGCGTATGTAACCTGAAGCATATGTAACCCTAGGTACCAGTGTATATTGATGGTATCTAAAGGTAAAGGGACCCCTGACCATTAAGTCCAGACTCAGACAACTGTGGGGTTGCAGCACTAATCTCGCTTTACTGGCCGAGGGAGCCGGCGTTTGTCCACAGACAATTCCGGGTCATGTGGCCAGCATGACTAAGCGGCTTCTGGTGAACCAGAGCAGCGCACGGAAACATCATTTACCTTCCTGCTGGAGTAGTACCTATACATCTACTTGCACTTTGACGTGCTTTCGAACTCACCCCATCACGGGGCCTCAAACCGCGACCTTCTGATCAGCAAGCCCTAGGCTCTGTGGTTTAGACCACAGCGCCACCCGCGTCACTCTATTGATGGTATCTAACACCAAGTAAATTGGCAAAAATATATAAATCTAAATCCAGTAAGTGTTGGAAATGGAAAGAGAAAGACAGTTCTTTTTATCATAAGTGGTGGTCTTGTGGTAAGGTTAAAGCTTACTGGGAAATGATATATAATGGAATGAAAAAAACGTTTAAAATAACCTTTGTTTAAAAAACCCAGAAGCTTTTCTTTTGGGAATTATAGAAACAGAACTACCTAAAATGTATAGAAACTTATTCGTGTGGGTGGCTCGTACTCCCTACGATGAAGTATATTCAAAAATGTTTGTTTATGAGATTTACTTTTACTTTTTTCATTTTCTTATGTTTTATTTTCTTTTTCTTTGTATATTTTATATGTATATGTATATGTATATGTATATGTATATGTATATGTATATGTATATGTATATGTACTGTAAATACTGTATCTAATAAAGAAAAGAAAAAGAGAAAGAAAAGAAACAGCAGCAAGAATGTTACTTGGTCCAAAATGGAAAGAAGCAGAAGTCCCAGCAAAGGAAGAATTGATGCAAAACTTATGGAATACACAGAAATGGAGAAACTTACCAGAAGAATAAGAAATAAAGATAACAAACTTTTTATAAAAGAATGCAAATGGCTTATTGAATATTTACAGACAAATTGTAAACAGATAAGAACACTGGCAGGATTATTGTAATAACCTGCAGTTTTATAAGCATATATATATATAAAGTAGATGAATAAATGAGCAAAGTAAGTTAATTTGGATATGCAGAGGGTATTAAAAAATAAATTTAAGGAACCGCAGAAAGGGGGGGAGAAGTCAAGTTTTGAAATGTTAAAATGATTGTAAAATTAGTGAAATGTATAAAACCAGTGAAATGTATAACTGAAAAGTATAAATAAAATTTGAAAACTTGGGGGGGTAGATTGTAAATGCTTATGCACTATTTTCTATATTTTTGCCTTTTGTTTTCAATTTAGCTTCACCACTTTCTGAGAGGTATGTCATTTAACAACACTGCAGGAGACACAGTTTCCTTTAACCAGAATGGAGAGATAATATCTGGCTTGGATGTCATCAACTGCATTATTTTCCCCAACCAATCCCTTCACAAAGTGGAAATTGGGAGAATAGATCCCCGGGCTCCGCCAGGCCGAGTGTTCACCATTGATGAAGATGCGATAACATGGCATGGCTGGTTTAACCAGGTAGATTCCAGGTGACATTTATCTAGAAAGTCATCCAGTTTTGAATGAGCATTGAACATCTGTCCTGATGCCTAGATTTACGTAAGTTCGTTTAATAAATATAAAGACCTGTGGAAATACTGGTATTTGCCTTATGAAACAAACTGGACCCAAAAATTTCCATCCTAATTGCTGACCCGGAAAGGGTGTGAGAATAAGTGTGGATAGTGGAGGCAACAGAAGACCAGAGGGAAAAGCCAATAGCAAACAGAAACAGGTAGAAGAGACAACTAAAGCTTTACATGGAAACAGTAGAAGAGGTGGTGAAGATGAACAGAATGGAAAAGGGAGGGAGAGAAATGGAGTCAAGCTGCTGGGACAGATGGGGCACACTGGGTCTAGGAATTAATGCATCTCTCTATTAGTGCTTCATGTCACCGATTCATTTTTTGTTCCATTTTAAAAAGTTTCAAATTATATATTTAAATGGGTGTTTTAATTGTTATTTTCTCTCAAAATACATATTTAATTAAATCCACATTTTAATCTGCATATTGAGAATTATTTTGCAGTTCTAGGGGTTCTTTTGAAAGGTATGATTGGCATCACTATTGGCCTCACTCTCACTTTATGGCCTAGATTTCCAAGCTGTTTCTTCCTTGGTTTAGAGTCTTCAACTGAGGCTGCTGGTTTTCAGTGCCAGAAAGAATTTTACCCTTGGCACAATTAGCCTTTGGTTGAGACGTTCCTGCCTTTCTCAGTGGATAAAATGCTGGATTCCAAGTGTATGAATTTTAAGATTCTTATTCTGTTCTTTTTTTACTGATTAGACTCAGCCTCTTTCTGTCTGTACTGAGAGTTGCCACCCCGGTTTTAGGAAGAAAGTGAAGGAGGGGGAGCCATCTTGCTGCTATGACTGCATCCCATGTCCAGAGGGGAAGATTTCAAATCAAAAGGGTAAGAGATATACCAAGGAGATTGGATCCAGATGCAATAGTTACTGCTAAATAAAAGAAATAAGGCTTGTATTAAGCCATGTCTAGGTTGCTAGAGAAGGTAAATGACACACAACTTATGAGACAGACAAACACACACACACACACAGAGAGAGAGAGAGAGAGAGAGAGAGAGAGAGAGAGAGAGCACTCAGTTGCTAGAGCACGAGACTCTTAATCTCAGAGTCATGGGTTCGAGCCTCATGTTACGCAAAAGATTCCTGCATTGCAGGGGTTTGGACTAGATGGCCATCTTGGTTCCTTCCAAGTGTACAATTCTATGGTTTGTGCTGGGTGCCAACCTACTACAGGACCATGATCAGTGCCGGATTTATGTATAAGCTAAACAAGCTATAGCTTAGGGCCCCACTCTCTTAAATTAAAGAAAAAAACACTGGATATACATTTCCAAAATATAAGATAAGAAACAAATAAAATAAAACCTACATACAGCAACTGTGTTTTGTGTTGTGTAGGCTCCTATGACGTAAGTAATGGGCCCCACCTGCTAGCCTGCTCCCTAAAATATCATTGGTTTGGACATATAAAGGGCCCCATCACCTCCAGTAGCTTACGGCCTCATCAAACCTAAATCTGGCCCTGACCATGGTTTCGGTACTAGCATCTGATGCCATATGTAGCTCAGGCCAAGGTTACTTGTAAGACCCCTTATTCCTTACATACCTAACAGGGCACTGGGGTCTGTGGGAAAACTCCTTGTAGCAGTTCCAAAGATATCAGATGCTTGTACCACTCTAACTCAAAGTAGGGCTTTTATGGTGGCTGTCCCTCTTACATGGAATAGCATTATGGTCAAGATTTGACAGGTACTACCTGCATTTTCTGTTAACAATTGATTTTTTATTTATTCATTTATTTTGTTGTTCTGTCAGGTTTTCCCAACTGGATGAATGGGTTTCTATAGGTTTTTGAATGCCATGGGTGTCAGTTCTGTATTGAATTGTTTCAGGTTTTTTAAACTTGTTTGTTTTTGTGGTGTTTTAAACTGTTTTACTTGAGACACGTATGTAGAAGGCGATGAATAAATGAATAGTGATAATAACAATAATAATTTCTAACTTTTCCACTTAATTTCAAAAGGGATCTTTGTATTGACAACTATATCTATAGGGAGCTAAAGGTGCACAGAAGATCTGTGATCCACAGGAACAAACATGTCAGACTATGCATACCTCATGACTGCTTTTCTTTACTATTTAAATTTGGATGAAATCTTTTGCAAGGGCTGGAAAGAAGCTTTAGAATTGGACATAATCTGTCATGTTTTGTGTGTGTTTTTCTGAACACTGGCCTTTGGGTATTCTGGATACATTTATCCAGTAAGAATGACAAAGGGCTTGTGGTTCTTTTGTAATTGAAGGGGAACTGGTCAACTCTTCTGCTACCTGCAGCATGCACCCAGACTATACATTCAACAACTGTGAGGGTGAATAGCCTATAACCTTACAAGCCACCCCAGTTCCTGCATAAACCTGGGATGTGAGCCAAATTTAACATTGCTTCCTGTCAGCAGGTTTACCACATCTTTTTAGAAAAAATGCTGCTTTATGTCTACATCCGTTCTAAACAAGTTAAACCAACCTGTGCCACAATCTATAGTGCCAGCACTAATATGTATTCTCTGAACTGAAAGGAGACATTTGATTTGAGAGAGAGGAACAATTTCAGCATGTTGTTGATATTTGTGGCATGTAACTGGGATCAAGACCTCATATTTCTTTTTCCAGATACAGCTGAATGTAATAAATGCTTAGATGAAGACTATCCAAGCAAGAATCGAGATGCATGCATTCCCAAGAGTAGAAGCTTCTTGTCTTATGGAGAACCTTTGGGCATCAGTTTAGCCTGTTTTTCTCTTTCCTTTTCTCTGATCACAGCTCTGGGGCTGGGTACATTTATGAAGCACCATGACACTCCTATTGTCATTGCAAACAACAGGAACATCACCTACACTCTCCTCATCTCCCTCCTGCTCTGCTTCCTTTGTGCATTGCTATTTATAGGCCAACCTCAGAAGGTAACATGTCTCCTCCGACAAACCACTTTTGGCATCATCTTCTCAGTGGCTGTTTCTTGTGTATTGGCAAAAACCATTACAGTGGTTTTGGCTTTCATGGCCACCAAACCAGGATCTAGGGTGAGAACCTTTGTGGGGAAGGGACTGGCCAACACTATTGTTTTTTCCTGCTGCTTTGTTCAGGCAGGGATCTGTACTGTATGGCTAGCAACCTCTCCCCCATTTCCAGATTTTGACAGTCATTCAATGGCAGAAGAAATTATACTAGAATGTAATGAGGGGTCTGTGACTATGTTTTACTGTGTTGTTAGCTATATGGGTTTTCTGGCAATTATCTGTTTCACTGTTGCTTTCCTTGCCCGGACATTACCCGACAGTTTCAATGAAGCCAAGTTTATCACTTTTAGCATGTTGGTCTTTTGCAGTGTTTGGCTGTCCTTTATTCCATCGTATCTGAGCACCAAGGGAAAATACATGGTTGCTGTGGAGATCTTTTCTATCTTAGCCTCCAGTGCTGGGTTGATGGGTTGCATCTTTTTTCCTAAATGTTATATTATTGTGTTGAGGCCTGAACTGAACAACAGGGAACAACTAATAAGAAGAAAAGCCTGAAGAATTTAATAAGTGTCCTTTGCTATAATTTGTACCCAATACAGGAGATGTGTTTGTGTACCACAGAATATTGGTAAAGACCAACTCAACAGTTGCCTGAGCACCAAGGGAAAATACATGCTAGCTGTGGAGATCCTCTCTATCTTAGCCTCCAGCCTTGGGTTGCTGGGTTGCATCTTTCTCCCAAAATGTTATATACTTTTGCTGAGGCCTGAGTTGAACAACATGGAACAGCTAATAATAATAATAAGGAAGAAAAACTAAAGAAATAATAAACCTGTCCTTTGCTATAATCTGTGTTTTTCTCTGCATGTAGAGGAGAATATTTTCACACATGTTCAGCAGCTCCCTTATAAATGTTTCTAGTTTCCAAAAATCCCTAGCTGAAAATTCATTTGGAAAAATGCTTTGGCATTTGTTTTTAGGAATACAATAATAACAGTACATTGTACACACACATTATTCTCTTGTAGTATATGTTAGTTTGGAGACTCGGAGCAATTCTTACCAAAATTTACTTATAAGCAAATCTGTATCTGGTCTTAATTCGCAATTATAAAACTTGCTTCAAAGCTTTCAGCATAATGGAATCTGTAAGACTACAATGAATGAACTTCATCCTTTTCAAGCCATTTGTGAAATATTAGTTGACTGTTTTCCTTTCTAGTTCTTTGAGCCAGATTTGACTGTCAACTATTCCCTACTACAGAACAACAGAATGAAAGATAAAGCCTGTTGGATCAAGCTAGTGACCCTTCTGGTGCAGCAACCTGGATGCAAAGTGAACAAGCAGATGCCTGTGGGAAATCTGCAAGTGATTTACAGCAACTGGTATGCAGAAGCATTACCACCTCCAACCACAGAGGCAGAGCATAGCCATCATAGCTACAATAATAATAATAAATTTTATTTATACCCCATCCTTAAGAATGGAGAGGTTTGATCTTCTTGCAGTCCATGGGACTCTCAAGAGTCTCCTCCAGCACCATAATTCAAAAGCATCAATTCTTCGGCGATCAGCCTTCTTTATGGTCCAGCTCTCACTTCCATACATCACTACTGGGAAAACCATGGCTTTACTTTACGGACCTTTGTTGGCAAGGTGATGTCTCTGCTTTTGAAAAACATCAAAGTATATGATACATTAAAAACATAAATCAAACAATCCTAGCCATATCCTCTAGGAATTTCTCTAATTCACTTTTAAAACCATCCAAGCTGCTGGCCATTATTGCTACCCCCAGCAGCGAGTTCTATAGTTTAATTATATGCTGTGAGATAATATAGTTCCCATAGCAATGGTTTTTTAAAAACATATTGTCTGAATCAGGTCCCCTTGAGATGTCTAGAAAAGGCATTATAAATAAACCATGCTCTGGTCCATCACACTTTCTTATTCATTCTGATAGCCCAGACATTTTGATAGAATATTGTTATAGACTATTGTTATAGAATATTATGTCTCACAATGCCCTTCCATTAAGGTGACAATAGTTGCTACTGTTGCTGCTGTTCCTTGTTAGTCCCCTGTTATGCAAAGATCTCCAGGTGACCTTGAAGCATTTTTAAAACAAAAACAAAACATAAACATAAATGCATTATTCAGAATTCATGCAAAACATTTGGTTTGCGAAACACACATGTACCAGCCACAGGAAGCTTTGGCAGCATAACAACAGCAAGACATAATCTCAGACCATCAAAAACCCAGGGGAAAGGGTAGGTCTGGAGGGTGACAAGCATGAGAATGGGCCTTTTCTGCAGTAACTCTCCATTTGTGGAATACTCCTGGCGCCTTCCTCACATACCTTTAGGTGCCAGGCAAAATCATTCCTCTTTTTGCAAGCCTTTGGCTAATTAAACAATCTATGACACTTTGAACTGTGTGTGGTGGGGTATTGTTTTTGTTTGTTATTTTGGTAAGTATTTTTGTGTTTTTATATTGTAAACTGTCCTGTGATCTTTGGCTGAATGGCGTATTAGAAATTTAATAAATTATTTTAAAAATTACCTGGCATCAGAAAGGTTTCAGCAAAGCACCAGGTGGAGCTCAGTGGGCAGAGCATTCCACAGTGGGGGAGCCTCAACTGAAATGTTTTAGTTCACCAACTTGTCTCATGGATCAGAACACAATATTCATAATGTATATAGGTCACTGGATTGATCGGGGGGGGGGATTCACCAGATATAGAACTGAAAGCCAATATGTATTTTAGGGCTGCACAGGCTTCCCCCTCCCCATCTCCAATTCAATTTACAGCCTGATTCAGTGACTCAGATTTTCCCCTCCCTCTGCATTCAGACTGAATCCATTTAAATGGGTTGACCACTAGGCCAAGGACTCAATGTTTTCTATGGGCTCCTTTCCTTCATTGCCCCTCTCCCTGACCTTTGACTTCCTCCACCAGAAACTCATTCTTCCTGGTTTTCTGCCTGCAAAGTCTGTCCTTTTCTCACAGAAGAAGAAGAGTTTGGATTTGATGCCCCGCTTTATGATTACCCTAAGGAGTCTCAAAGCGGCTAACATTCTCCTTTCCCTTCCTCCCCCACAACAAACACTCTGTGAAGTGAGTGGGGCTGAGAGGTTTCAGAGAAGTGTGACTAGCCCAAGGTCACCCAGCAGCTGCATGTGGAGGAGCGGAGACACGAACCCAGTTCACCAGATTATGAGACTACCACTCTTAACCACTACACCACACTGGCTCCCATGCCACTCGTGGCCAACATGCATTTCCTTTCCTGGCATTCCACCCACACCATTAAGTCATACCTCAGCCTAGTAGCAACTATGTATACTTCTAGCAGGAGGTTGCTGTAACCAACATTAACCAACCCAGTGCTTGTATTCTAGCACAAGTGCTAGTGCTGAGTCTGAGTGCTGCTCCCCCCATCACTGGGCTTTGTCTCGATAGTCCTTTGTTGGGGTCCTGTGCTGCAATAACTAAGCTTCCAAGTTTTACTGCTGTTTGTGATTAGTATAGTGGAAGTCGAAGATCAGGGAACATAATAAAGCAGAGATTGGATTTTTCTTTCATTTAGCAGTATTCTCTCCTTCATATGTTTTACAAGTGTTGTACAACTTTGCAATCAGAGATGAGCTCCATGGAGTTCAAGGGAGCTTATCTCAAGTAGCTACTATGCAGTCATGACACATGGTGGACAAGTATGTGAAACCATGTCTCCTTAAACAAATTCCAAGATACTAACTACACCTTGCTACTTTTTGGAATCTCCTTTCATTATAGGATTTCATATGCTGAGCTTCTAACTTCAAAATTCACCACTACACCACTGGTTCCTTATTACCTAACCAAAGGGAATTAAAAAATGACAGTACTGAATATGGGACAAATTCATATTCTGCAGCAATTCCACAGGGAGTCCCCAGCTTTGAATGAATAACTATGGTCATGTTAGATTATTAAGAGGACTGTAATTAAATCTGCTGCTTCTCAAAAATCCATGTGGATTTTCCGTGGCCACTGGCAAAACTAAGGGCAAAGGATGCAATAAATCTAACCAGGGTAATTGAGCTTTCACTGCCATCTCATAGGCTTTCATAAGTGTCCTATAAGATGTTCTTGTGGTTCCGTCGCAAGCATGCCGTCATACTCACTCTAGCACTCCAGCTTTCCCACTTCATTTCCCGGAACTCCTCAGTAAATCAGGGGGCCCGGTTTCAGCAGGGTCGCAGAGGGCGCTTAGGTGTGATCTCATTGATGGCCGCCAAGAGCCGGTTATTCCAGTTCTTGACAAGCTGATCTAGTGAGCCACCAGGGGGAGCAGGGTCCTGCAAGGCCTGATGAAATCCATCAGGATCCATCAGTCTTCGCGGGCGAGCCCAAATAGGCTCACCACTCAAACGGGGTGGGGGCGGGAAGTCAATCCTGGCTTTCAGAGTGTAGTGATCAGACCATGGCACTTCTACAAATGAGGACATGATCACATCTATACCCACACTGAAAATCAAATCCAGCGTGTGGCCTGCTTGGTGTGTGGGACCCAAAACAAACTGGGAGAGCCCTAATGTTGCCATGGAAGACACCAGGTCCAGAGCCCGTGAGGAGGTGGCGGCATTAGCATGAACGTTGAAGTCCCCCAAAACCAGTAGGTTAGGGAACTCCAAGGCCCAGCCTGCCACCATATCCAACAGGCCTGACAGTGTGGCTGCTGGTGTGCTAGGTGGTCGGTACACCAGCCAGACAGCCAAGCTCTTCTTGGTGCCCCACACTAGGCCAACACATTCAATGCCGGATATTGATGGTGATGGCAGAGCCCTGAAAGAGCAATCCTCCTGGATTAATGTAAAATGCATTTCAATTATAAAACCTAGAAATTATCAAAATAATGAAAATTGAAGGAAAGCTTTCCCATTTAGACACTGCCCCGTCGAAGTTATGAGCCAAATCTAGGAAAAGGCACTTCATGCCACCTGAATGTTTTATTTTTAATAGGGATCTTCTAAGGAGCAGCTGTGGGATGCAGGTGGTGCTGTGCATTAAACCTAGGGCTTGCCGATCGGAAGGTCAGCAGTTCGAATCCCCATGACAGGGTGAGCTCCCATTGCTCGGTCCCAGCTCCTGCCAACCTAGCAGTTCGAAATCACGTCAAAGTGCAAGTGGATAAATAGGTACCGCTCCAGCAGGAAGGCTAAACAGCTTTTCTGTGCACTGCTCTGGTTCGCCAGAAGTGGCTTAGTCATGCTGGCCACATGACCCGGAAGCTGTATGCCGGTTCCCTCGGCCAATAAAGCGAGATGAGTGCCACAACCCCAGAGTTGTCCGCAACTGGACCTAATGGTCAGGGGTCCCTTTACCTTTTTAAGGAGCAGCTAGAAATGAAAGAGTTCAAGGAGGAGTCAAGCATTGCTAGTCTCTCAGCTGAGATGATTGAGAGTACTTGCATTCCTGTCTTTCCCTCTTCTATAATCTAATGGATTATTAATTAATAATATTATTTATTGGGAAGTTTTTAATGTTTGATGTTTTACTATGTTTTAT